TAGTGTTCACGCTCTTGTGTGATCTCTTCTTGAGTGTGGGGTGGATTTATTGATTTGCTTCTGATGAATAGAATATGGCAGTGATTATTTCTTTTTGATACCTTTACAGATTTTTTTTCACAGCACTTTATATAAAGTTTCTGATTGATCCAGTGGAAGGGTTACTCTGATATAGCTATGCCCACAGGGTGAGCTTAATTGTATATAGAACTGTTACAGAAGCAGCTCTCTTGGCCCACCTCCAAATAGTGACTTGCTAAGTGAAAGGCTACTGTCCTGCGAGGCGTATGACTGATGCTTAGAGCACAAAACACTTATTTTCAGGCATTTTCTTGTGTGTGCTTCTGCAGCTGTCACCAGGTAAATGTGCATTTATCAGTCATTTTTAGAGATGTTTTGCCTGTCATAATTATTTTTATAATTACGTGTCTTTGTTACATAATATAAAAATTGATGGCAAAGGATTTTTTCCATGAAAACTTACTTAAATTCTTTTGAAAGACCACATAAATGAATTGATAAAACAATTGTTGGTAAATTGGTTGTGTGTAATCAAACTGTAAAACACTGAAGAAAGAGCTCATAAAAATCCAGGTTTCTTTAATGAAATTATTTTTCAGGAGTCCACATTCTTGCTTCATCTTAAAGAGACTGAAATTGAAAATAATGCCATATTAAATGAGTGCAGTTCGTGCAAGAAAGAAGTGAGGAGCTCTCATGCATCAGGATATTTGTGAATAAATACATTCATGCTTTAAGTTAAAATAAAGTACTTAAGTTATGTATTTGTCCTGTGTTATGATTTCTGCTTTACATGGCCTTTTGAAATAACTGAACCAATTTCTTAAATTTTTTTTTTTTTAAGATTTTATTTATTTGCGAGAGAGAGAATGAGAAATAGAGAGCATGAGAGGGAGGAGGGTCAGAGGGAGAAGCAGACTCCCCGCTGAGCAGGGAGCCTGATGCGGGACTCGATTCCGGGACTCCAGGATCACGACCTGAGCCGAAGGCAGTCGCTTAACCAACTGAGTCACCCAGGAACCAATTTCTGTTCTGACTACATCCTTTTTTTTTTTAAAGATTTTATTTATTTATTTGTTTGTTTGTTTGTTTAAGAGAGGGAGAGAGAGAGAGAACACAAGTGGGCAGAGGGGCTAGCAGACTCCCTGCTGAGTGGGGAGCCTGACCAGGGAGGATCCCAGGACCAAAGTCAGACACTTAACTGACTGAGCCACCCAGGCCCCCACTGACTGTGTCTTAAAAGAGGACTTCATCTATACTTCTAAATACTGAAGGGTGTTTCATCCTGCCTTATTACAAAGAATTTGGCTTTTTAATTGAGTAATTTACATAATCTTAATTTTAAGTTATGTTTTAGGTATTAGCATTAATTCAAATCCATAAATTAATATGTTTATTTACTAAGAACATAAAAGGCCTTTTTAGATTGAAATACTCAGCCAGAACTTAAGCAGAGAACAGGTAATTATTTGGTGACTCTTGCTCATTTACTAGCAACTTCCATAAATTATACAGATTGTTTATCTGTATATAAAAATACCAGATAGTTGTGTTTTCTTGTGTTTATTTTATATTTATAAACCAAGATGGGAGTCAAGCTTTTTTTATTAAACATTTATGCTGTGTCTGCTATGAACAGGTCTATCAAGACAAATAAGATACATTCCTGTTTTGCAAGGAGATTATAGTTCAGAGAGCCATTTTGTTAAACAGTTACAGCAGAGTCAGAAGGTGCTTTGTGCTTTTTTCTGAGTGTAAATCTGCACATTTAAAACCAGCCCTTTTGTATGATGATATGATTAAATTTTAGTTTTTAAATATGTGATCTCTTTAACCTCTGCTCTTACATTTACCTCAAGGGTCAGGAGGAGACAGGAGGAGTCATTGACATTGGTTAAAGCTTTAACAAATTTGGAAAAAAAAACACTGATATTCAGTACTTTTATATGACTCTCATAGTACTGTACTTTTTCTGGTCCTGTAACTTTACTTCTAGAGTGCCTTCACACCTAGTCTTTCATAAAATCAGAGCTTCTGTTTCACCAGTTAACTTCATATAGATAAAATCTTTATTCTTGGAATGTGATTTGTTCATTCTGGCTTACTGTAGCACAAGTCCAAATATTTTTCTCCTATGCAAACATACTATAGGCATTAGGTCTTGGTGTGTGGGATCCTCAGCCTGTCACAGATTTCATTATGCCATCTGCTTCAACCTGAGTGGTGTATCTTCTGCTGGCAGACTTTATTGAAGTTGCCATGGCTCAGGATAAAAAAAAAAAAAAAAATCAAGTTTAGCATAAGGAGCTTGCTTTTGAAAAAATAATAATTGATCATGCCTGCTGTAGATTTTAAAATAACCATTTGAAAGAATTCCCAAAACCCTCTTCTCAACACAATGATCTCTCTTCATCGGTGATTATAGATGATAGCCAATATAATATAAGCCAATATAAGTTGGATTATTGGTAACCTCATTAACTTAACTGAGTCTTCTGTTTAGTTTTAAGGATAGGTAACAAACTCTTAGGCATGGATTGGTGATGTGTTGTAAAATATTTTGAATGCTCTGTCAATGTAAATTTTACCTAATGCCTTATTCCCAGAAATGATACCTCAAGTGACTGTTATGTGTATAGTACAAACATAAGAACGCCATGATGAAAAAATCCTGGTCATAATCTACTTATTAGATGTGTGACTTTGTGTAATTTTGTCATTTGAAAAATGGAAATAATGGTAGTGGGGGGGTTGTTGGGGAAATGAAATCAAAGTAGATCCCTAAGAAAATAAACAATAAAATTGTTCTGCAAATGCATATTGAATGCCAACTCTGTGCAAGGCACTCTTATAGAGAATGAAGAATATAAGAGAGAATAAAATAGTCTAATTCCTCCACTGGGGAATTCTACATTCTAGTCTGTCCACACAGATTTGGATGTACACTCCATGACAACAGGGTCCATGGCAAGTGCCAAGAAGAAAAACAGAACAGGGTAAGCTCATGGAGCATAATGGTGGGGTGCTGTCTTGGGTAGGGTTGTCAGGGCGGGCTTCTCTGGCATAAAGTTGAGCACACCTGATTGAAGTAAAGCAACAAGCATGTAGATGTTGGGGAAGGATGTACGTGGCTGATAGAGTGAGCAGTTTGGTTTGAGGAACTGTGAAAGGGTCAGTAGGGCTAGATCCTGCTGGGTGAAGGACATAGTGCAGGAGATGAGTTCAGAGAGTGATCCAAAGTCATCATTGATGTACTCTTTCTGATAAAAATTGTGGATAAAAAATTACAGTACAGACACCCTACAGAAATGGGAAATTATTTCGCTTTAACTTGATGCTCTGTATAACAGGCACATACAAGTAATCATAGAATGTTTTTTTCCAGAATGGAATGATCTTTTTTGTCATTGTTGTTACTTACTTATGTCATTGTACCCGGAGTTAGTCAAATGGCAAGGCTGGAGGGTACAATCCTCCAGACTTCCAAGTCCATTGGAGACTTTTGACACCAACAGCAAAGAGTTAAGTTCGAACTATGAAGTTAGAGGGAAGAATCCACAAAAGACCACCCTCACTTCTGAGCTGAACTGCAAGTTCTGGATGTTCCCCAACCCTCCTCAGGTTCAATAATTCAGTATAAGGACCTACAGAACTTACTAGAAGCTTTTCTACTCATGCTTACGGTTGATTATAAAGAAAGGATACAGGTAAAAAATCAGCCAGAGGAAGAGACACATAGTGCAGGCTGAGGATTTCAAATATGAAGCTTCCATTTTCCTCATAAAGTGTTTCCTTTTCAGAATTGATGTGTAACAGTATGTATGGAGTGTTGCCAATCCAGGAAGCTCACCTGAGTTTGGTGTTCAGAAACTTTATTAGGGTATCGTTTCATAGGCATGACTGACTGCCTATGTGATTTAACTTAGTGTCAGTTTGGGGCTGAGACCTTGTGGCCTTGGAGCCCACCATGAATATCTGGAAACCCCAAGGGTTTAGAGGTTACTTCCTAGGAGCTGGGGGTAAAGGTCAGACCTCTCTTCAGGAAAGACCAAATTCTTCTCTTTTAAGATCTTATTTATTTATTTGACAGAGAGAGACACAGCGAGAGAGGGAACACAAGCAGGGGGAGTGGGAGAGGGAGAAGCAGGCTTCCCGCGGAGCAGGGAGCCCGATGCGGGGCTCGATCCCAGGACCCAGGACCTGAGCCGAAGGCAGATGCTTAACGACTGAGCCACCCAGGCGCCCCAGGAAAGACCAAATTCTTTACTATATATATTGTTTTAAAAATTCAAGAATATAAAAGATTAAATGGCCCTCTGTCTTTCAGGGACAACTAATGTTATGTTGGTTGGTTGGTGTATATTCTCCCAGACGTTTAATACAAATATAAACATCTTTTTTTTTTTTTTTTTTTTTTTTTTTTAAAGATTTTATTTATTTATTTGAGCCAGAGAGAATGAGAGAGAGTGAGATAGAGCACATGAGAGGGGGGAGGGTCAGAGGGAGAAGCAGGCTCCCCACCGAGCAGGGAGCCCGATGCGGGACTCGATCCAGGGACTCCAGGATCATGACCTGAGCCGAAGGCAGTCGCTTAACCAACTGAGCCACCCAGGCGCCCCTAAACATCTTTTTTGAATGTGCATTGTGTTGTACTGTACACATTGGTTGATAACTAGCCTTTTTCACTTTTGTGTGTATGTGAATGTGTGTTTGTGTGTGTTTTAATGAGTACCTTAAAGGTGAACACTGGAGTTAGGTTTTGAAATTTTTCCCATTTAATAAACAATGCTGTATTGTGCATCCTTATACATATATCTTTGTGTGTTATTCTCATTTTTCTCTTTGAAATTAATTTGCTAAATCAAAGGGTACGGGAATTTTGAAATTTCATATGTACTTCATTATTACCGCTGGGGATGTTTTCTGTGAAATTGTTTATGGAATGTCAAAATTGTTAATAATCTTCATATTGCTCTTAGGTAAACACTGCAACATTGGCAATTTCAAATGTCGAATATGCTCACATTCCACATCTCAGTCCAGCTGTAATTCCTACTCTGCAAAATGAATTGTTCTTATCATCCTCAAATAATGGGAATCTGGAAGCATTTACAGGATCTGGTACTCCACACATCAATGGGAAACCTGCTTGTGATGAATTTGATCAACTAATCAAGAATATGGCCCAGGTAAGAACATTTCTTCTTGTTAGTTATGATAGAACAGTGTAAACAAGTCCTGAATAATTGGAAGAATATGTATATGTTTACATCACATTATATAAATATATAATATATATGGTTAAATATATTTATGAGGACATTTATAACATCTGAAAAAATTGAAATGGAAAAGAAGTGGATTTTGTGTGAGTTTGGGTGGTTCAGAAATTTTTCTATTTATTTATTTATTTTTATTCTTCAGGATCAATAATAAAATACGTCACTCTAGGTGATGCGTGATAAATGTTATCTGGGAAAATTCTTTTAAATTTTTTTTTTAAACTCAGTAATGCCACTAATAAGATAACTGTGAATGGAGTGATTAACGTTTAATTAAAAGTTATTTCTTGCTTTGTTTCCTGAACAGGGTCGCCACATAGAAGTTTTTGAGCTCCTCAAACCTCCATGTGGAGGTCTTGGGTTTAGTGTTGTGGGACTCAGGAGCGAAAACCGGGGAGAACTGGGAATATTCGTGCAGGAGATCCAAGAGGGCAGTGTGGCCCACAGGTATGATTGTTATGACGTCTTCTCCGTTTCTGATACTGTATTCAGAAGGTGTTGATGACCTTGGGAGAATTTAGAGAAAGAAAATGGATAAAAACTGAAATGTAATATAATCTGTTATTAATCAGTTTTTAGAAATCTTTAACATCACTGTGATAAAAAGCCAGTCCTCGGAAGGGAGAATGTCTTTTAAATATGGTCATAAAACACTTTTTAGGAAGGAAAGGAGAATTTGAGTAGGACATTATTCTCATTATTATTAAATGGGCTCATTTTGATCGGATTTAAAAGTTGCAATATAGAATAAGTATACAAATGACCCATGATAACTTGAGCTATATTTTATTAATATACTCACAACAACAACTAAATGTATACACCTTTGCTTTTATTTGTAGTAAATAGGAACATCTAAGACAAAACATATAGGTTGAGTGAGTAGCTGTAAAGAAGGTGGCTTTTAAATGGGAGGGATTGATTAGGGGTAGATAACTAGAGCCCAAACTTAACATTTTCAAAAGTAAAATTGCAGGGAAAAGCTTAAAAAGTGTGGACATTAGAAAACTGGCTTAAAAATAACCTGAAAATATATGCAAAGAAGCTGTCATTTTCTTGAGAGCTGTCAGATGTCTTTTACTCCTTTTTTCATTCCTGATAGAGATGGAAGATTGAAGGAAACCGATCAGATCCTTGCTATCAATGGACAGGCACTTGATCAGACAATTACACATCAGCAGGCTATCAGCATCCTGCAGAAAGCCAAAGATAATGTCCAGCTAGTTATTGCCAGAGGCTCATTGCCTCAGCTCATCAGCCCCATAGTTTCCCGTTCTCCATCTGCAGCCAGCACAATTTCAGCTCACTCTAACCCTGTAAGTACATAAGATTTGTAAAAGGGACAGATATTATTTTTCTAGTCCTTTTTGGTTGTCTACAGATTTCCATTTCCTGTAGGTCCTTGTATTTCTTGAGTTTTTCCCATTTTATTCTTTTATCTCTCCCTAGCTTGGAATATTAGTTTTTTAATTACGATTAAGTTACTGCCTTCTAAATCAACTTTTACCTTTCTTTGTGTATTCTTCTGGTTGACCACATTCCTCAAAAAAAAAAAAAAGAAAAAATTCAGTTTTTCAACAAACCTGACTCTATCTTTAGACAGAAAATAGTCTTGATTTTGCTTTATAAATTACAGAATTATACTGTTTGAGTTAGCTGTCAGTGACTTCAAGGAGTCCTCTAATTAGAAATCCTGTAAGGCAAGATTTTATAGAAGATAATCTTAACAGGTGATGATTTCTCCTTGATCTTTTTCTTTTTTTAGAAGTTCTACAAAGGGTCTTACAAATCAGTGCCTATCTTCAACTGGTTAAATGCGGTCACTGTAAAGATGTATTGATAATTTCAAGAATGATTATATCAATAGCAGTAACAATCTGTTGAAAGGGAATTATACTAAATCAAAGGGACATTGTATCTGAACATTGTATCTGAACTCCATTATTTGATACCAATCAGAAAATAATATTCACAAAACTCTCAACTATAATAAAATTTCAGTTTTTCCACCAAATTTTTTCAAAGTCATATAGGAGTTTTGTTTTCAGGTTCACTGGCAGCATGTAGAGACTATTGAACTGGTGAACGATGGATCTGGACTGGGATTTGGCATCGTCGGAGGAAAAGCAACTGGAGTGATCGTAAAAACCATTCTGCCTGGAGGAGTAGCTGACCAGGTAAGCTACTCCAACAGGTGTTTTATGCTGTTTTATCAAATTATATGCCTTCATCTTTTATATTTTCTGTTAGAAAGAAGAAACTTTGGCCTTACATAATGTCAAAGAAGCTGAGTTAGAACTTCTGTTTTGCTTGGCTTTTCCTAAAGTGTTTACTTTTAGCCCTCGGAGAAAGATCTTTGAAGAGGGACATTGCTCTTAAGTTACAATTCTATTTATTTTTTTAAAGATTTATTTATTTTAGAGAGAGAGAGAGTGCAACGGGGAGGGGTAGAGGGAGAGAGAATCTCAAGCAGACTCCATGCTGAGCACAGAGCTGGATGTGGGGCTTGATCCCAGGATCCTGAGATCATGACCTGAGCCGAAATCGAGAGTCAGATGCTTAACCAACGGAGCCACCCAAACACCCCTTAAGTTACAGTTTTAGGCAATGATCTTAAGACTCTTGTAGAGCCACAGACTAAAGCCCAGGTTATGGTTTTGATCATTGTAGAGGTAGCTACCCTTTATTTTATGATCATAAATCATATTTATAAACCTAGTCTGCTATTTTATAGTCACAAGGTATTATGGAAAAAAGAATATTATTGAGAGAAGAAACAAGATTCGACTTGTCCCTTTAGTGATGGTGTCATCTTTGTAAATGAAGCACAGCCTATTTTTATCACTCGGAGTAGTTTGTTAAAGCGTTGCCATTATGCTCTGTGACACTGTTGGAATATATGTGAGAAAAATTGTTGTAAAGTTACTGGTTATGATTTATATTTTAATTTGAAAAGTTCTAGTGTTCAGTAACTTTTGCTTTGGTTGTAACGTTTTGTTTATAAAGTTGTCTGTTTTTGCATGTGTGTTTGAACTTAAACTAGAAAGTCAGTTTAGCAAATATTTCTCATATTCATATATGAAAAGCCTGTTTAATGGCAGCTTTATCAGTAGAGGTATTGACAGTAGCACAATAATATGCATATTTTCTTCCTTTTAAATAATAGCCAGCTTTTAACAGTATTTAATGAAATTCCCCTAGTTGACTGGTTTGCAGTAAATTAAGCCTTGTCTTCAGTACAGACTTGCACCGTCTAACACTATAGCTACTTGTAGCTACTTGCTACTTCTAAAATTCAAATTTAATCAAAATTAAATAAAATGAATACCTGGGGTGCCTGGGTGGCACAGTCAGTTAAGTGTCTGACTCTTGGTTTCAGCTCAGGTTAGACCTCTTGGGTCATGAGATCAAGCTCTGAGTCGGGCTCCACGCTTAGCACAGAGTCTACTTAAGATTCTCTCTCCCTGTCCCTCTGTCCCACCCCCCCACCCCCGCTCAAGCTCGCTTTCTCTAAAGTAAATAAAGAAAATTTAAAATTAAATAAAACGACGAATTCAGTTCCTTAGTTGGATTGAACACATTTCAGGTGCTCTGTAACCACATGTCAGTAGTAACTGCCATATTGGATGATGCAGAACATTTCTGTCCCTGCAGAAATTTCTAGTGAATAGTGCTCGTATGGAGGATAGTAAGACTCATCCATCTAAATTTTCATCTATTTCGTCTGAAAATTATTCTTTTAGGGATATTTTTAATTGAAAGTGCAAGACAGAAATGTATTAATTCACTGCTTTTTTGTGGTCTTTCTATATTTTTTGAGTAATATGTATTTGCATATGCTTCATCTTTGCTTAGTGGCATTTTCTTTTTTTTTTTTTCTATTTCTTAAAAAACTTATAAAAGGCTTATTATTTTCCTGTATATAATGGGTAGAAATCAAATTGAAAAGCTCTTATCAGCTGTTGATTTAAGGAATATTTGTGAATTTCAGTTACTTGTATCACATTGAATAATGTTAAGATGCATCAAAAGACAGTTAAAATAACAACCACATGGTTAATGTTCCGTGATTGATAATTGACATTACTATTTTTAAATTATTCTCTTTCCCTCATTTAGGATTTCTCTGACGAACTTAAAATATTAGTAGCCTGATTAACTGGTCTCTTTATTCAGCATGGGCGACTGTGCAGTGGAGATCACATTCTAAAGATCGGTGACACGGATCTAGCAGGAATGAGCAGTGAGCAAGTAGCACAAGTGCTCAGGCAATGTGGAAACAGAGTTAAACTGATGATCGCAAGAGGGGCCGTAGAAGAACCAGCAGCACCCTCCTCTTTGGGCATCACCCTTTCCTCATCCCCATCTTCTGCACCAGAAATGCGGGTAAGTAGGTAGAAGCAGTTACTAGGAGCCTCATAGACAATAGCATTTAGATGATAGTGCTGTTTAGAAACTAGACTTAATGATACTCATTCATATATTAGTGCTAAAGAAAGAAAATTCAAGTGTAGATGTGTTTCAGCACTAATAATATCTTATTAATTAGGAATCATGTGTAACATGAAAAATAGGTTTCTTTAAAAAATTCTAGGTTACTCTTTTACATCTTTCTCTAAGCAGCACGTTTATGAGGATAATCTTTTGCAAGATGATAAAATTTTAAGGAATTATTTGCTACTAATAACTAAAATGTTTAATTTTATTTTTCTTCTATCTAGAAGGCTCTCCCGTTAGGCAGGCTGTGAGTTCCATCATTCTCTTTCAATACCTTTCCTTTTAGTGTCTTTTGGGGGGGGGGGAGAATAGGGGTGGGAGTATCAACAAAATAATTTTATCCAAAAATCTCTTAAAGCTTTAAAAACAGAATTACATTCAATTTCTAGATAAGCTTTATAGCAAATGCAAGTCCTGCATTCCTTTTTCATAGATCTAAAAACATCTATGATATTTTTCTGTTAAAGTTTTTTCTAATTAGTTGCTATGGATTCTTTTTTAATAGCCTAACCTCCTCTATAAGCCCTTTAAAACTTTATTAGAACACTTGAAATTTCCATGATTCTGTTGTTTTAGGCTTGAGTTAGTTGCTATTTTTTGCAGAGAAAAAGAAGTAAAGAAAGAAAGCTTGTGTATGAAAGTATTTAAATCACATTCTTTTGTGGTAAACAAAACATTTTATTCAGCAATATATAAATGAATGCAATACCGAAAACCACTTGATGTAATTGAAAGCTTAGAAAAATATCTATTCTGTGCATATCATCATTTCTGAAGCTTGTGCCCCTTTTAAAACCATTCGATAGTCAAATTGCCACCCTCTAAAATAGCACTCGCATAAGTCTTATTAAAAATAGAAAACACATTTGTTTCAATTGAAGCAGATTTCATCCTGTCATTTTCTTGTAATTATCTAAACTTTAAACTTTTGCTAAGTTTGCACAGATAATTATGTGCAATGAAAAAAATAAATCAAACTTTACTATAAAATTGTATCTCACTTAGATGGACTATCAGTGAGATATAGTCAGAGTTGGCTTAAAGAAAATAAAAAAAATATTACCAGCTAGCCCCAACCTGTATGTCCATCCGAACCTTCGTTCTGTTGTGATTTTTGTAGGGTTCTCTGGGGACTCTGCTGGTACCATACAAGTACATAATGCCAGAAGCTTGCTGATAACTTTACTGCGCTAGTCCACTAATGCTGAATTCAGAGAACCTTGCCCTTCAGCCCAATGTGTAATTAAGAATAGTTTTACGTGTGGGGCACCTGGGTGGCTCAGTCAGTTGAGCGGCTGCCGTCGGCTCAGGTCGTGATCCTGGGGTCCTGGGATCGAGCCCCACATCCGTCTCCCTGCTCGGCGGAGAGCCTACTTCTCCCTCTCCCTCTGCCTGCCATTCTGCCTACTTGTGCTCTCTATCTATCTGTCAAATAAATAAATAAAATCTTTAAAAAAAAAAAAAAAGAATAGTTTTACGTGTTAGAGGAGCCTGCTTTCAGCTGTCTTTTCAGGGATGAAGATCAATGCAGAAAGGCATGATTTCCTTATAAAGAGCTTCTAAGTTAAAGTCTGAATTTACAAAACAAATACAGTAACAATTTTAAATAGCTCTTTGTTGCATTTCACAGGTTTTCAAAGTCATCATCAGTGTATTAATAAAATGTCTGGAAGATAGATGAACTCCTATTCCTGGTGTTAGAATCAACTATCCATTTAAGGTAGTAGTAGCAGCAAGTTAGTGGACAGTGTCCTGAGTGGACACTATGGCTCCTATATTCTACTAGGGATCTTACACACTGCAGAACATTTTAAGAGCAGGGGTTTTGCAACCAACTTACCTGTATGTGAATCCTGCCTCTAATAGACTGCCTACTGTTTGTCCTTGGAAAGGTTTATGTTCCTCAGTTTCCCCAGAGAAGAACTGATAGGAATTGTACCTCCCTCATAGGTTGTACTAAGGAGTAAATTAAGACATCTCAAATGTCTGTTACATAGAAACTGCTCAATAAATGTTATCTGGACTTGTTATTCTTATTCCTGATAGAGAGTTGAGCAAAGCAATGATTAGAAAAATTCAGATTTGAACGTGTTGACCTGAATTCAAAACATGAGTTCTTTCAATTGTAGAAACGAAGATAAGCCATCCCTGAAAATAGAATTTGTTAATAGGAGACTATTTGATTTTTAAAATTTTGTATACACAAATCATAATGCATTTTTCTGATAAGTGGGTGTTCAGCCTTACTGCTGACATTACTTTTGAGTAACAATGTAATGCTCAGTTCATGTTGTCAAGATTGAAGGAGTAGTCTCTTCCGTAGTTTCTTTGCCACCTAATGATATTATATTATTCCTAAACATAGGTTGTTGCTTTTTGAGTTTATCTTGTTTGTATACATGTTTCTTGTTCTGCATATTTATTTACTGATTTTATTTTAGGTTGATGCTTCTACTCAGAAAAGTGAAGAAAGTGAGACATTTGATGTAGAACTCACTAAAAATGTCCAAGGATTAGGAATTACCATTGCTGGTTACATTGGAGATAAAAAATTAGGTAGTTTTAAACACTTTTTTTTTTTCTTACTTAGGAATTGCCTCTGATATCTTTGTCTTGTGAAATATTGAATCAATATGGGGCACCTGGGTGGCTCAGTCGTTAAGCATCTGCCTTCGGCTCAGGTCATGATCCCAGGTTCCTGGGATCGAGCCCCACATCGGGCTCCCTGCTCAGCGGGAAGCCTGCTTCCCCTCTCCCACTCCCCCTGCTTGTGTTCCCTCTATTGCTGTCTCTCTCTCTCTGTCAAATAAATAAATAAAAAATCTTAAAAAAATATTGAATCAATATTATGTATTTTCAGATTGTTGGATGAACTGATCAAAAACTTCCTTAGGAATAATTCAGTGTCAGAAACTGATACTGTGCTTGACAGACAAAAATCATTGTCTTATTCTCTAGACTAAGTTTCTATTGGTTTTGTTCCTGTGGCTTGTTGATTTATATTTATTCAAAATTAGGACTTTATATGTGGAGAATGAAGGATGGATAGTTTTTGAGTGTGCTTTGCAAAAACCCTGTTTCTAATCTTAGAACCTTCAGGAATCTTTGTAAAGAGCATTACAAAGAGCAGTGCTGTTGAACATGATGGAAGAATCCAAATTGGAGACCAAATTATAGCAGTAAGTAACATATTTAATAAGAGATTTGTTCATTTTCATGGTTGAGAAATGCATTCTCCTAGTTTACTCAGTTTTGAGAACTACAGTTAGCTCCATACTAATTTAAGCTTTTTGGTGATTTGAGGCTGTCATTACAATTACCCGTTTTGTTATTTTGTAGAAGAACATTGGATAGAAGCTTCACTGATCTCAGTTCTGAATAATAGAATAATTTCTGATATATCTGATTTCTGGTCGTAATGAATTTGTTACATTAATATACTTATACTTTAGTTGCAGACAATCTAAAGGTAAAGACCAGATATCATAATCTTTAGTGTACTTGAATCTGAATTTTGGGACGTGTGCTTTTTTTAATATCAGCAGAATGACACTGTTGTTGTTGGCTCCATGTCCAGGCCTCTTTTTAGCTCTAAGGATATACAGGAATAAAAGAAATAGATCTTAACTCCCTCTTAATCAGATCAAGCTCATCATTGTTATTGTAGTGACCTCAGTATGTTTTGAGCATATTGGTATTCAAGGCAGTGTACAGAAGAATACACCTTCACTTCAGTGTTCTCTGCAAACTGGGCTACCCTAACTACTCGTTGAAACACAGTTTGAGAGACCCTACACCAGGGGCTTCCTGGTCAGAGAAGTTTAGGAAAAACTGATAAGGTCTCTTAGGGATTCATAATGCACATTGAAAAATCTAAGACTCTGAGAAGTTATGCAGTACAGAAAAAGCTATTTTACTTTGGGTTTTCCTAAACTTTTGTAATCATGGGCTCTTTCTTTCCTCAAACATATATTAACATTCTTTGAAAGACATTTTGGAGAATACCGATTTATCTTAATATGTATTTATGTTTAATTAAGTCTCTGTTGTTTCCTTGGGATCTTATTATGATACGAGTGTAGAATGTTAATATAAGAGTCCATGTTCATAGTGGCTTTATTCATAATAGGTGAGATGAGGAAGTAACCCAAATGTCCATCCATGGATGAATGGAAAAGCGAACTGTGATGTGACATATATATAATATATATTATATATATATAATATATACATATTATATATATACCTATATACACTAAAGTTTATGATATCTGGTCTTTACCTTTAGATTGCAACTCAAGTACAAGTATATATATATGAAATGGAATATTACTTAGTCTTATAAAGAAGGAAATTCTGTCATATCCTGCAACATGGTTGAACCTTAAGGACATTATTCTAAGTGAAATAAGGGAGTCACAAAAAGACAAGTACTGTATGTTTCCATTCGCATGAGGTACTTAGAGTAGTCAAACTCATAGAAATAAAAAGAATGGTTGTTGCAAGAGTCTGAGTGGAGGGGAACATGGGGAGCTGTTGTTTAATTGTTACAGAGTTTCAGTTTTGCAAGGTAAAAACATTCTAGAGATCTATTGTATGACACTGAATAAACTTAGCACTACTGAACTTTATAGGTAAAAGTGGTTAAGATGCTAATCTTTTTGTTATGTGTTTTCTACCACAATTAAAAAAAAAAAAAGAGGTGCCCTTATTTCTGCCTTTGCTTCTACATTACAATTTTGAGTCTTCTTGGGCTTAGTTCTGTAAAACTAAGTACACCTGTTCACCTCTTGAAACCTGTGAAGATCAAGTTGTGCTTGCCACTTAAGTTGGCTATAACCTGGGAATGAGTTTTAACCACTGTATCTTCATTTGTCATACAATGAAAATTAACTACTTTTTTTTTTTTAATTTTGGAGAAGAAGAGTGGAGAGAGAGTACATAGATACAGACTCTAAATCCATATCCAATACCGAATTAAAAATTAAAAACATAGCTAGTGTACTTTTTTCCCTAAGATATATATTTTAATCCATTAAAAAAGTTTTTTAAAAAATCAGCTTTATTGAGATATACTTCACATAGCCTACAATTCACCCATTTAAAGGGTATAGTTCAGTAGCTTTTAGTATTTTCACAACTGTGCATCCATTATCACAGTCAATTTTAGAAACTTTTCATTACCTAAAAAGGAAACCCCATACCCAGTAGCAGTCTATCCCTAATTCTACCATCCTCCCAGCACTAGAGAACCACAGTCTTTTCTCTGTCTCTGTAGATTTGCCTACTCTGTATTTCATGTAAATGGAATTATACAATATGTGGTCCTTTGTGACTGGTTTATTTTGCCTAGCATGTTTTCAGGGTTCATCTATGTTGTAGCATGTATCAATTCTTCATTTCTTTTTATAGCTGAATGATATTTCATTGTATGGATATACCACATTTTATTTACCCATTCATCAGCTGATGGACATTTGGGTTGTTTCCATTTTTTTGGCTGTTATGGATTATGTTGCCATGAACATTCATGTACAAGTTTTTGTGTGGATGTATGTTTTCATTTATCTTGGGTATATACTTAGGAATAGAATTGTTGGATCCTATGATAACTGCTTAGTAAGCTGCTTTCACATACAAAATTGGGAAAAGGAAACTTCCCTTGTATAATTTTTAGGCAGACCAAATGAGTAATTAATTAAAATACTTGGTATAACACTTGGCACATAAGTACAGTTTAATTACGAAGCAGATCCTTTTTAAAGGCCTGAAATAATTGCACATTTAAAAGCACAATAGCGGGGCACCTGGGTGGCTCAGTCATTAAGTGTTTGCCTTTGGCTCAGGTCATTATCCCGGGGTCCTGGGATTGAGCCCCGCATCGGGCTCCCTGCCCCGCGGGAAGCCTGCTTCTCTCTCTCCCACTCCCCCTGCTTGTGTTCCCTCTCTTGCTGTGTCTCTCTCTGTCAAAGAAATAAATAAAATCTTAAAAAATAAATAAAAGCACAATAGCTTCCCTCCAAACTTGTCATTATTTTCTTTTTTTTCCTTTTATTATGTTATGTTAATCACCATACATTACATCATTAGTTTTTGATGTAGTCTTCCATAACTCATTGTTTGCGTATAACACCCAGTGCTCCATTCAGTACGTGCCCTCTTTAGTACCCATCACCAGGCTAACCCATCCCCCCACCCCTCTCCCCTCTAGAACCCTCAGTTTGTTTCTCAGAGTCCATTGTCTCTCATGGTTCGTCTCCCCCTCCGATTTCCCCCCCGTCATTTTTCCCTTCCTGCTATCTTCTTCTTCTTCTTCTTCTTTTTTTTTTTGAGTGAGAGTGTTGAATCACAGACCTGTACCTCTGAAACAAATAATACATTATATGTTAAAAAAAAAAAAAAAAAGAACAAACTTGTCATTATTTTCATTAGGTGGAACCTCACATAGGGTTTTGCTTAGGTAAGATCAGTAATAAAGGGAATTGTTGACTCGAAAGGAGAAACCCCCTTCTCCTGAAGGGTTTTCTTGTTTTCAATAAAGTCACTTGTCTTCACTGTCATCAGTGTTCTGAATTTTAACTTTTAGCAATATTCTCTTACTTCAAAGTTAGGGGCCTCTTAGACTCTAAGGAAACATCATGCAATGCTTTTAGCCATGCATTAAGGGTTTGTGAAATATCACCATCTTGTGGACTTCTGAGATACTTGTAGTAAAGTTCTTCACGCTGGTTGCATTTTCACAACTGCAGTCTTTGTTTTTTCTGGTTTTGTTTTGGCAGCAGTTGTTTGGAACTATACTCTGTTTTTATTTTGTAGTTGTCCAGGCAGTGAGAAGATTGAGAAACTATTTCTTGCTATTTTGAGGAGGTATTGTTTTATAACAATTAAACTTACTTTGTTATAAGATTCCTGTTTTACAAATTGTGCTCTGTTGACCCCTAGGGTTTCACTGTAGACATTACAGGGGACAGAATAGAGCGAATGATTCCATTTTATTCCCTTTGTATATTGGTATCCCATATAACAATTATTTGATCAAGGGATTCTATTGTATTTTAAAAAGTTGACCAAACTGGTCATCAGATGAAATCATATATTCATTCTTCTTAGATTGATGTATAGAAATCCTTGCTAAAGCAGAATGGAATTATGATTGATTAAAAAAAAAATATCGGGAGCCTGGGTGGCTCAGGTGGTTAAACGCCTGACTCTTGATTTCAGCTCAGGTCATGATCTCAAGGTCATGAGATCCAGCCCCTCGTCCCCTCTCCTTGCTCAGTGCAGAGTCTGCTTGAGATTCTCTCCCTCTCCCCTCACCCCTCCCCCTGCTCGCCCACGTGCATGCTCTCTCTCCCTCTCTCTCTAAAATAAATACATAAATAAAATCTTAAAAAAATTATTAAACAGGCTTGTAAGTAAGGAAAAGTGTCAAATGTTGCCTTTGGTATTCTGACTTTGTTAATAGGCTCAAGTTCTCTCTTAATATCTATCTGTAAGCTGTGGTGGAGGGAGGGCTTGGCTGGCTAGATTGAGCGTACTCGGGAGCTGGGGGTTTCCACTTGTTTCAATTAGTCATTCTCTGCTCCGTTATTGTTCCTGCTAATTGTGGTGTCTGCACTGAGCATTATGAGGTTAGTGGAACTTTCCTTGAGAGCACACAGGCAGCCTCCTGCCATTGCATCTAGTTCCAGAGCGCTCTTGTCTGTGGTGCCACTGGGCCTGAAGCCATGTCTTAACACTCTCCGTGATCATAGCAGACCAGAGCTGCCCGGGACCCCGATTTGGGCTTTGCTGACCTTACCTCATACGTATGACAAATGTAATGATATTTGAACAGAAACTTCTCTCAAGAAGGCTTGAAATTTTCATGTTTATTAATCACTTCTTCAGTCTGTTAAGAATACCAGCTTCTGAGTTTCTTCCCAGTGTAAAGTGCTGGGTACTGTAATTTTGGGAAAATAGGTACCATTATTCCCATATTACAGATGAAGATGCTGAGAAATTTGAATTGAAATCCAGTTTTAAAAGTTCATGGTTATTCCCTTATACCAGGTTCTTCTGTGCTGGTACCATCTCTGACATTTGGGTAAGGAGTATGTTTTTAAATTCAGGCCATCAAATTTTGAAAATAAAGGAAGAATGCAGTTTTTAAAAATGTATTTGAACTTTACTGGTATTAAATTGACAAAATCATATGCATTTGAGTTTTTAAAATTAAATTGGATTTTTCCAAATCAAAACCCCAATGAGATACCACCTCATACCAGTCAGAATGGCTAAAATTAACAAGTCAGGAAACGACAGATGTTGGCGGGGATGCAGAGAAAGGGGAACCCTCCTACAGTGTTGGTGGGAATGCAAGCTGGTGCAGCCACTCTGGAAAACAGTATGGAGGTTCCTCAAAAAGTTGAAAATAGAGCTGCCCTACGACCCAGCAATCACACTACTGGGTATTTACCCCAAAGATACAAATGTAGGGATCCGAAGGGGTATGTGCACCCCGATGTTTATAGCAGCCATGTCCACAATAGCCAAACTGTGGAAAGAGCCAAGATGTCCATCGACAGATGAATGGATAAAGAAGATATGGTATGTATGTGTATATATATATATATATATATATATATATATAATGGAATATTATGCAGCCATCCACATTTGCAAAATGTGGATGGAACTGGAGGGTATTATGCTGAGCGAAGTAAGTCAATCAGAGAAAGACATGTATCATATGCTCTCACTGATAATGAGGAATTCTTAATCTCAGGAAACAAACTGAGGGTTGCTGGAGTGGTGGGGGGTGGGAAGGATGGGGTGGCTGGATGATAGACATTGGAGAGGGTATGTGCTATGGTGAGCGCTGTGAATTGTGCAAGACTGTTGAATCACAGACCTGTACTTCTGAAACAAATAATACATTATATGTTAAAAAAAAAAGAAGAAGATAGCAGGAAGGGGAAAATGAACGGGGGGGAAATCGGAGGGGGAGACAAACCATGAGAGACGATGGACTCTGAGAAACAAACAGGGTTCTAGAGGGGAGGGGGGTGGGGGGATGGGTTAGCCTGGTGATGGGTATTAAAGAGGGCACGTACTGAATGGAGCACTGGGTGTTATACACAAACAGTGAATCATGGAACACTACATCAAAAACTAATGATGTAATGTATAATTAACATAACATAATAAAAAAATTGGATTTTTAGAGTTGAACAATAAAAATCTATTGGAGATAAAAAATTGTACTGTGAATTTTAAGAATGTTTATGGAAACTTAAAGTTGAGATTTTTATGAGTTTTTTCTTTTTTCCTTTACTATCTGATAGTAAATAACATGTTCATTTATCTTATATTAATTTTTGTCTTTGAGGTTTAAATTTAAAATAATGTGCTATAATCTGCATTTATTTCTTCCAAAAGGTAATTTGCTTTACAAATAAATCCTTGACGTATGGACTGAAGGCTCTATATTCCCATTTGGGGTGACTATTGTGCAGATGACAGTATGCTTTGGTGACATCAGAACCTGTCCTCTTGGAGCATGCAGTCACAAAACTAATAATGACAGAAAATATAAAATTAAAATTATGATAAATGCTGGGAAGGATAAATGGTAAAGGGGGCTTTGACTATGGTCAGAGACCTTAGGATAGTTCAGTTATGAAAGTATTACACTGAGATCTAAAGCAAGTGCAGGTGTTTTCTGGGTGGATGGATGAGAAAGAGCATGGGCTGGAGGGAGTCCAAAGAGTCTAGACTGGGGGGAGCAAAACCTGCAGAGGCCTCCTGGCTGAGGGGAACATTGCAGGGCAGGAGTGGAAATGAGCCCTCGGGGGCTAGAGGGCACAGGGATAGGCAGCACCATGCCAGAAGAGATTGGTGGTAGAGCTGGGGACGGTTGACACAGGTCTTTCTAAGCTGTGTTCACGGTATGGAAAGTTGGCTTAAGGAGTGTCCTATGGAAGGCAGTCTTGGGATAATATGATCATATCTATAGTTTGGGAAGATCACAGGGACGTCTTCAAATATTTTATCCTTTGTGAACTAGGAAAAGGGAAAGTCACGTGTATTTTCTGAAGAGGCAAAAAAATAAAAAGGAAGATAGTTTTGTCATCTTTCTTTTTTTAAAGCCAGGTAAGTATGTTATGTAATACATCAGCACTCTCAGAGACCACTTTTGTCACTGTCTTCTACACTTTTATATCCTGCATAGTACTAGCTTCCAGACTTGACTGTGTATCAGGATCACCTGAGGAATATAAAAGAATATCCCCACCCTGGAACTATTGGTTCATAATATCTAGAAGTGAGACACCATCATCTGTAATAAATAAAACAAAACTCACCTGGGTAATTCTAGTGCATCTAAGTTATTACTGGTCCCCAAACAGGTTTTAGTTCATTCTCCAATTAGGGGAGTACTCAGTCCTGTTCATTTCCCACTAACAAGCAGTAAACATGCATTTGGTGAATCGATAATACAAATACTCATTTATTTTTTAACACGTCTTGCTCTGATCACAGGTAGATGGCACAAACCTTCAGGGTTTTACCAACCAACAAGCAGTAGAGGTGTTGCGACACACAGGACCAACTGTGCACCTGACACTAATGAGAAGAGGAGCGAAGCAGGAGGCTGAGTTCACGTCAAGGGAGGATGTCACAAAGGACGCAGTTTCGTCTCCTGTGAATGCCAGCGGAAGCAAAGGTAGTGCCAGGTGAAACTGGTTTTCAGTTAGACCTTTACATCACTTAGATATTTTTCTAATTCTGAAAATACTTAAAGAATGGTATTTAGTCTTCACTATTCATTATGAGCCAAATAAAAAGGAAATTTGGTGAAGTTGGGACTAACCAGAACTAGCGATGTGTCCATTCACTGTAGAATGTGCTTCCGAATAAAACAGGTTTCTTTCTTTCCTGTTGATTCAGGTACCATTTCAGAGTCAGAAACGTGCATTTACCTTTCCATCCCTGCCTTACTTTTAGGTGCCATTGCGTGTTTTCCTCTTTAGGGAGGACCTGTTCTGCCCGGGCTAGATCTGCAAGCCTCATGTGCCTAGATGTCCAGCCTTCCTTGAAGGAATCTACTTTAATAACACATTTAGAAATGTCATTCATAAGCTGTTGGTACATGAATATCTCTGAAAATTAGTGAAATCCCCCAGTAGCTGACTGATGTAAGAGTTTGTTGGTAGAAGTCAGGCTTTTGGTTTGAAAATGCTGTGTCATTTCTCAAACTATTGACCATTCTGGTATTTATGCCATATACTGTTTATTACAGCAGTAGGAGACAGGGGGGCAAATCACATGAGAAATCTATTCTTTTTTTTAAGAGAGAGAGAGTGGAAGACAGAGTGAGTGAGGGAGGGAGAAAGGGAGAGGGAGCGAGAGAGAATCTCAGGCAGTCTCCACACTCAGCACAGAGCCTGATGTGGAGCTCTGTCTCACGACCCTGAGACTGTGACCTGAGCTGAAATCGAGTGGGACACTTAACTGACTGAGCCACCCAGGTTCCCTAAGAAATTTATTCTTTGTCATGTTAACAGGAGAATTTCCCTTTTAAGTACAAGTGGTTATTGAAAAGTTTACCTACAAAGAATATTCATCTTGGGGTTCAGGTAAATACAGTGGGATTTGAAAAATTTCATGTGCTTGATTATATTATAAATGTAACTACTAAAATATTCTTATCTTTAAGAAAATTACGAAAAAGATGAAGATTCTTCATCTTTGAGTAGAAACACCAGCATATTACCAATTGAAGAAGAAGGTAAACACCTGGAGCCAGGTTATTATGTTCTTTATTATTTGTTTGTTTTTTAGAGAAATGATTTTTGTGAATGTGATTAAGCCTCTATGGATATAAATTACTAAAAAAAAAACTATCAAAAAAGAAAACGATACTTTTCAGTCCTTATATATAGATGGGATTAATTTCTCTAGTAGAGTAAAATAGTTCATTTACACCTGGCGTATTTTCTAGCTGTACATTTTTCTTTCTTACAAATTTTTAAAACCCTTTAGGAATCAATCAGTTATGTACAAGGTTTTATGTCAATCCCCTTCCTTCAGTACAGCCAACATGTCCATATCTTATTGAGCAAGCAATAATAAAATTACCAAGTGTTTTTAAAATAAACATGAGAATCTTTTTTAAAGCATAAGCTCTTAGGAATGAAACTGTCCAATTTGGGGAGGCTTTTTCTTGTCAATTTTTCCAAAATTTGAAATCTTAATATTGGGAAGTTGGTTTGGGAAGGAATTGTATGGAAAAATTACTAAAACTTTCTGAGATTTCTTTCAGTATAAACCTAGACTCCATCAAGCTGTTTAAACATTTTTTAGAGCAGTATTGTTTTATTATATAATTATGCCAGAATATTACTGCCATCTTTAGGCTGGGAGCTGTGTGCTTTCCTTACCTGTCACATTGCTTTAGGTGCTTTAGTAACTTAAATCCACTGAACAGAGTCCAAGACTGATCTTTCATGTGTATGCTACCCTTCACTAGTTATATTGATGCTTTGTGGTTCTTTAAAGTATCTACTTCGTTATTAACGTTTTTTTTTTTTCTGTTGAAAATTTTGATTTATTTTTATTATTTTAAAGGACTATATGTGTTTGCCATAATACTCTGGGAGTGTGATATGTAACGCATTCATATGTGTTAATTGCATTCTGCCATTTTTACACTAGCAGGTGAAGAAATTATTTAGGCTAAAGTGAGTATCAAGAGTAGTGGGAAAGAATACAAAGGTTTTAGAGCATGAAACTTTATATAAAGTAGGGATGGGTGTAGGGGAATCACCTCGAAAGCCCAGATCATGTCTTTGCTTTGGTGAATGTGCATATGGGAGGGTTGGGGTGGGGAGACGCTCTAGACTTAGAATCAGAAGTCCCCAATTCTTTTTTAAACAAACTAAGGAAAAGCTTCTAAATGATTCTAATGCATCTACCCTAGTGCTGGTTCTCAGACAACAAACAAACAAAAGAAATTAAATAGACTCATAGATACAGGAAACAACTGTTGGTTACCAGAGTGGGGAGGTTTGGGAACAGGCAAAGTAAGTGACAGGGATTAAGATGTACAAACTTCGGTTATAAAATAAGTAAGTTATGGGGATACATTGTACACATAGGGAATACAGTCAATAGTATTGTAATAACTTTGTATGGTGACAGATTATAATTAGAGTTATTGTGGGGATCATTTCATAATGTATGGAAATATCGAATCACTATGATATATTCCTGAAATTAATAGGATATTGTTTGTGAATTATACTCTAATATAAAAAATGTATAGAGAAATAAGAGTAACTCATATACTGGGTGAAAAGTCAGACTTGCTACAACAGACAGGTTCTGATCACAGTGTCTCTGGAATAGAATGTAAAAATATGGAGGTTTTTGTAGTTTGTCACTGACTTAATTGTGTTGACTATTTCAGGTTATCCGTTATTGTCAGCAGAGATAGAAGACATAGAAGATGCACAACAACAGGAAGCTGCCCTGCTGACAAAGTGGCAAAGGATTATGGGGATTAATTATGAAATAGTGGTAGGTTAGCTCAGCCTCCCTAACTTCCTAACTTGTAACTGTGGTTGAGCAGGAAGTTCATGACAAAAATAAAGATGATCTTCCTAAAGAGGGCTAGAGAAGTAGCAAATGCCCAGGACTTTTTTTGAAGACCGAAATGATTGAGGTATTTAAAAATTCAGGTTGGAGAAAGTTGGATAGTAACAAAGGAACTTAAATAAATGGAATGAAAATTTTAGGACTCGTAATTCATCAATATTTTAATATTTTGAGCAGTCATTTGTATTATCTAGACAAAAGGAATGGTTTTTTTTTTTTTTGATTCTTGAGTCTGGAATTTATGGAGTGACAGAATATACTTAAAGATAAAATAAAAATCATCATGATCTTATATATAAAATTTGAAGAGGATTTTTTTCCCACTCTATCCTTACATATTTATTTTGCTTAAGGGGTTTAATTCTGCATCCTCTTTTCATACCATTTATTCCGTAGTGAATGTTTTATGTTTATTAATAGTTTGCATACCTTATATAGCAATCATGACCTGCTATCCTAAAAAGAGACTTAAGAAAGGTAATGCAAATTATCAATCTTGAGATGTATACCAGCAAATTTTAGGGATTTCAAAAGGAAAAATAAAACACTAGGTTAAGTAGAGTTTTTCATATTGCTTATAATATTCAAACAACTCTAGATTAGGAGAGATCAAAGAACAGATGTCATGTAATAATAACTAGCATTTATTGAGCACTTTGTGCCAAGCAGTATTCTTAGTGTTTCATTTAATCTTTGTGACAATGATCTTTTTTTTTTTAAACACTCAAGATGGTTAACAGTCAAGTAAGTAGTAAGTACAGCTGTTTTTACCATTTTAATCAAGTCAGGGAAGAATAAAATAAGGTCCAGCTTAACTGTAGTTAATTTAGCATGAAAGGTTGGGGGATTCCTCCTATGGGGTAGGGTTAACATGCTGGGACATATCACTGAGACTGCACTTCTGTGGTGGTAATGGAATAGTGAAGGGAACTGTTTAACGAACCACTTTGTCATAGAGGTGAGACCCAGGACCATGAACTCTTGGCTGTCCTTTGTGCACATTGTCTCTTGGTGGCACCCCCAGTAATCTGTCAGGGGTGAAATGTGCTATAGGTAAGAACCAAGCTGTTTATTGGCCTTCATCAAACAAAAGTAAGAGAGATCTGACTTTAAATTGTTTGCTATGTAGCTGTATAGCCTAAATGCAATCATAAGAGCAGTGGTATGGTAGAAGGAAGGATTGATAGACGTTATCAGGGAGGGACTTGGAGGGCTGCTCAGATGAAGTGATACTTACACTGGGTTTTAGGGAGTGAGGAGGATTTCATCCACAGTAGATTTCAAAATTGGATGATGTAGCTTCTGATAATAACCCTGCACATATTAGCAAGATTTGAAAGATATCTTTTTTAATTAATCGCTGTTTTTCTCAGTTCCTCTATCCCTATCCCTATAAAATACAAGGGATGAAGTAGATCATCTTTAGTATTCCTTCTGATTTTAATAGTTACTGGATTCTTTGTGAAAATGGGTGATTTCCTAACATTCTTCATTATTTAATGTAACAGTAGGAAATAAGTTCATTCTCCTATTTGAAGCTCTGGTTCACTTTTTTTTTTTTTTTGATTTTATTTATTTGTTTGAGACAGAGAGAATGAGAGACAGAGAGCATGAGAGGGAGGAGGGTCAGAGGGAGAAGCAGACTCCCTGCCGAGCAGGGAGCCCGATGCGGGACTCGATCCCGGGACTCCAGGATCGTGACCTGAGCCGAAGGCAGTGGCTTAACCAACTGAGCCACCCAGACGCCCGCTCTGGTTCACTTTTAATGACCAGTGTTGTCCATTGATACCAGCATAGGATCAGGAGTGTGGGCTCTAGATTCAGACTGCATAAGTTTCAAAGTTCTTGTATAGCTATGTGACTCTGGGTAAGATACCCTCTTTGAACTTCATTTTCCTAATTTGGGAAACAAGGATAGACATTGGAATGATTTATGAGAAGCTTGAGATAAGCTACGTAATGGGGTTAGCTCAGTCCCTTGCACATAAGTGAAGTGCTAAGTATGTGTCTTTTCTATACTGTTGTTCGAGCTCAGGCATTTGATTTAATCTGTGGCCATTTAGGTTACCCTCCATCTGTTACTAGTTTCTTTTCCTTTTTTTTTTTTTAAAGATTTTATTTATTTATGTATTTGAGAAAGATAGAATGAGACACAGAGAGAGCATGAGAGGGGGGAGGGTCAGAGGGAGAAGCAGACTCCCCGCTGAGCAGAGAGCCCGATGCGGGACTCGATCCTGGGACTCCAGGATCATGACCTGAGCCGAAGGCAGACACTTAACCAACTGAGCCATCCAGGCACCCCCTGTTACTAGTTTCTGTAGGTGCTGCACTGCACAGTATCTCAGGGGCTGGCATCTGGCTCCTTCCTCTGCATTTGTGTTGGCTCATGAAACTGATAGATAATCAGTACTCTTTTGGAGGCAAAGCTCCAAAGCTTTGCAGCTCCACAATAACATTTTTGAAGCTTTTGTGAGAAAGTTGACTTTTTGGGGGGTGAACATAAAATATATACATGAGGGAAAAAAAACAAATGAAAAAAATACTAGATTCATGATGATTTTTTCCTTTCAGGTGGCCCATGTGAGCAAGTTCAGTGAGAACAGTGGGTTGGGGATAAGTCTGGAAGCAACAGTGGGACATCATTTTATCCGATCTGTTCTACCAGAAGGTCCTGTTGGACACAGTGGGAAGCTTTTCAGTGGAGATGAGCTGTTGGAAGTAAGGAGCTATGCCATTCCTCCATCCCCTTAAATAAAATTCTGAAAAGGCTGCAGGAGGCTTAAAGTGTAATAATAATATGCATAGTAAGTAAGTTCTTATTTTAAATTTCCTCTTCAAAGGGTACTTGAGAGAGATATGCAAGTAAAAATCCACCAGAAGTAGAAATTTCAAATCTGTCTGTACATTGATCTTCAGACGTAATTCCATGCTGGGTGTTTTTGTTTGTTTTAGTCCAGAGAACTATAAAAACTTTCTTTTAAAAAATTTAAACCAGTTATTCAATTTTTAGACCAGGTATCACTTTCACATGTTTCAGAATCACAAAGAACATAGAGAGACCCTGAACAGTCTCTTTCTTGTGCTAATCCAGCCAGTTCTCATCACCTTTCATTAAGTAACTACTGTTACATTTGATACTCTGCAGTCTTCCCAATATGTTTAATGAAGAGCTAAGAAAATTCGGATATATTCTTTCCCCCACTTTTAAAAGCATACTGGCATACAATATGTACTGTTTTCCATTTTGATTTTTTCACTTAGTGATATAAAATGTCAATTTGTAGAATAATCTGTTCCTTTTCCCTTCATCCCTGGGTATTTTTTTTTTCTTTTTATTCTTATGTTAATCCCCATACATTACATCATTAGTTTTAGATGAAGTGTTCCATGATTCAATGTTTGTGCATAACACCCAGTGCTCCATGCAGAATGTGCCCTCCTCAATACCCACCACCAGGCTAACCCATCCTCCCACCCCCCTCCCCTCTAGAACCCTCAGTTTTTCAGAGTCCATCGTCTCTCATGGTTCGTCCACCCCTCCGATTTCCCCTGCTTCATTCTTCCCCTCCTGCTACCTTCTTCTTCTTCTTCTTTTTTTTCTTTTTCTTTCCTGGGTATTTTTTTATTACTTCTCCCTTTCCAAACTACTACTCTGGCACATGAAACAGGGGTGAACGATGGTGATTTTTCTGAGTGCTTTAAAAGTCCCATTTCCAACACAACTCTAACATTGTTCTAGATCATACTACTGTAGGTAACTAGTTCTGAGCACAGTAGAACTATGGTAAACACCCTCGTAAAATTCATATTTATTTAATAAAAGATTGGTTTCAAAAGAGTACTCACATTATGAAATGTTCTTTCTTGGGCAACTTCTCTTTTTGCACAGGTGAATGGCATAACTTTGCTTGGGGAAAATCACCAAGATGTGGTGAATATTTTAAAAGAACTGCCGATAGAAGTGACAATGGTGTGCTGTCGACGAACCGTGCCACCCCCCAGCCAGTCAGGGTTGGATAGCCTGGACTTACGTGATACTGAACTGACAGAAAAGGTATCAGGTTTGAGACTAGCCAGAATAAGTAGTGGAAGGTCTGAATGGCATTCGGAAGAATTTTAAGCCTTTTTTTCCTCTCATTTGGCATTTGATTTCCTCAAAATCAGTGGCTTGTAGGAAAGACCTTGGAGTCAGACAAACGTGGGTTTGAGTCAGGCTCGGCACCTACTAACTCTGTGACCTTGGGCAAATCACTTCATCTTTCTGAATCTCACTTTTCTCCTCTGTAAAATCTACATCATAGTGCCAGTCCTCAGAGGGTTGTTCTCTTGTTCAAATAAGTTTATATAATGATATTAGATATTATGGCACCCTTTATGCTTGTATAATTTATTTATAGTATCCCTATGAAAAATATACTCATAATGTGCCCATTTATAGAAGAGAAAACTGATGTAAATAGTATGTAGTACAAATGTGGTAAACAAAAGATACTTAATGCCTGGCACATGGTTACTGCTCTGTAAATAGCTAACGTATGGATGGACACATCCTCTCTGTGATTTTAGATCTTACTTGCATATTTTTGTACTTTTTAAATCTGAACAATTTGAGGTCATAATACTGCATGTCAGATAATATTCTGTGACATTCAGACCTCCCATTTTCCTGTTTGCTTATTCTTTTTTATTCACATCAAAATGTCAAGAAAGAGTGCATCAGCTTTTCTGAGGACTCATAATAGATATCTAAAGTTAAGATTTGGACTTTACATAATTTGCGGTCTAGTCAAATCTCATTTAAGGTATAATGAGATATGATGCTAGAACTTGACTTACATTATACTGCAGGAATCAGTACAGTAGAAGAATTTTGAAAGCTTTGAAGAATGTAATATTCATATGAGTGGAGTAGGTTAAATAAGAGACATAATTCCAAATTGTGTAGAACTCACTCTATCACCATACATGTCCATACACATTTTTTATGTGTTCTACATGGGATTATTACAATAAAGCAGGTGGACAGATTTGTATCCATGGTCCTAGGATGTGTAATAATTAACAGCAAAGATAGTATATAAACTAGAATTTCATCATCAAAAACATGTCTTTCTGAAATTTGATATGTTCATACAGATGAAGAAAACTGAGTTAACTTAGATTCACTTTATTTTTGCTGAAAGAAGCCAACATTTTGTATTCCTATTTTTGTGCTGAGTGCTTTATAAATGTTATCTCATTTAATTCGTAACAATTCTATCAAATGGGTAACTGTGAAATTCAGGTTAAGAATATTGCTCAAGGCAACACAGTTAAGAAATCATAGACCTGGTCTTTAAGCCCAGACTAATCCGACTTCAGATCTTGTCTTGCTATTGTGCATGCTAATTTATTAATGAAATAATCATGTGCACAAGTCACAACATTTGAGAACCTTTGTTTGCAGAGAGTACATTTACATAGAGCCATTTCCTCTTGAATTGTTACATATCATAAGAATTTTTTCTTTAATATCAAAGTAGATTTACAGTTTTTTTTTTTTTTTTCTGACTACAGAGGTGACTCAGATACTGATGAAAAAAAGTGAAAACCACCCACAGTCATGCTGCTGAGATACAACCCTTGTGTATTTTTATAGGAGACCTTTGAACCATACATTTTTAATGCCTGTTCCATGTTAGGTATTTCTGCTTCTTTAACAACCTTCAGTAATTACTACCTTAATTTGTAAAAGTTTCATGATAAGCTCTTGCTCCTTTTATTTGTGAGTGGTTTGTTCTGGACAGATGCTGGGACTCTCCCCCTCCTTGTGGTGTTGGTATGTGTCTGTTGGTCTAGTGCCCCTGAAATAAGAGCTGTGTGGTCTGTTACGCAGCCTTATGTAGATCTGGGCGAGTTCACTGGGTCCTCGGAGACTGAGGACCCTGTGCTGGCGATGACCGAGGCGGGTCAGAATGCGGAGGAGGTTCAAGGACCTTTGGCCATGTGGGAGGTTGATGTGCAGCATATCGAGCTGGAGAAAGGAAACAAAGGACTTGGTTTTAGCATTTTAGATTATCAGGTAAATATGTCCATTTTTAACAATTTTTTTTTTTAAAGATGATATATATTCAAGGTATATTGTAGATAAGAGAAAAAGCAGTTAATATTTCAGAGTTATCAAAAACATTTCCTTGTTTCTAGCAAATCTTCTAAAATAATAATATATATGGTTTATTTATCATGAAGCGTTTCTTTTAACATTGAGTTCATTGAACTCTTTCTAGATTTCAGCTCTTGAAAATTTGAAGAATATACAAAATACATTTTAGGAATATCATAGAAATACAGTTTTTTTGTTATTTGGGGAGTATGTCTAAATTATTTTTATTTCCGTGCTCATAATTGATAGTTCATATTTCAGTGGTAAGACTTAAAGTATTAAATACTTATTTCTTTTGTCTGTAGTGAATTATAGAGTTCTAGTTGAAAATGGATTCTTGTCATTTGACTAAATGACTAAATTTATGAAGAAACTTAAACTGGTCAAGTGTAGCGTCCTTACCCTGCATTGCACTCTGTGCTGGGTAACTGAGGAAATGCTTATGCATGTGTGAGAGAGCCTCCTCATTAATTAAGACTGGACCAGAGAGCCATCTCCAGTGACTCCCAGGAACTGTGTTCTTTATAGCGCTTGATTGTGGATCCTTGTTTTCTAATATTAAGGTTGCTGTGTATCTGAAAACACTGCATCATCACATACTATATGGACTCTTTCTGTTTTTCTTCATTTCAGAAAGATAGGCCTGACCTTCTAGTACACTCACATCTACTGATGTCCCACAACAGTAACATCCTATTTAACAAATGCTGTTGTAGGGACACCTGGGTGGCTCAGTCGGTTAAGTGTCTGCCTTCGGCTCAGGTCATGATCCCAGGGTCCTGGGATCGAGCCCCGCATCAGGCTCCTTGCTCAGCGAGGAGTCTTCTTCTCCCTCTCCCTGCTGCCCTCCCCCACCGACTTGTAGTCTCTCGCTGTCAAATAAATAAATGAAATCTTTCAAAAACAAACAAACAAACGCTATTGTCAGTAATTCCTGTATCTGATGTCCAGCCTCAGAAGACAGTTGTAAGATTGGACAATTTATCAAAAATTAAAATTATAATTTTATAGTGATCTGTACAGTTGAAGTGGTCTACTCAGGAACAACTTGGTACTTAAGGATGCCATCCTTTAGGGGAACTCTTCGTAAACTCTTCAAAATGGAGATAGCCTTTACCTAGATAATTCGTTTAGACGTGTTGCATGAAAATTCTTTTTTGAGGCACTTGAAATAATTACCCATCCATTATAACTCAGTGGCCAATCTATAAAAACATTTTTTCAATAAAAAGGAGCTACCTTCTTTTTTATTTATTTTTTTCCCTTCCCCATTCTTTCAGGATCCCATTGATCCAGCAAGCACTGTGATTGTAATTCGTTCTTTGGTGCCTGGCGGCATTGCCGAAAAGGATGGTCGACTTCTTCCTGGAGATAGACTCGTGTTTGTCAATGATGTTAACTTGGAAAACAGCAGTCTTGAAGAAGCTGTGCAGGCTCTGAAGGGTGCGCCAGCAGGATCTGTGAGAATCGGAGTTGCTAAACCATTACCTGTAAGAATTCGGATTTTATCGATTTTCTTTTTCAGTTTGTAAACAAAATGGCTTTTAGGGTTACTTTTAGCTTCAGAAGGTGTTCTCATGAGTGAATCATGACTTTTGGTATGGTTATTGGCTGTGTGAGTGTAAAGATTTAATTTTGAGTAATAGTTTTTAAAAGAATAAAGGAAAGAAAACGAGATTCAGAAATAAATTTATAACTTTAAATTATGCTTTCATAGTATGCTTTTGATCTTTTTTATTGGATAATAAGGTCATGATGAATATAGAATTGAATATTTTAAAAGAAATATGCCTTGGGGCGCCTGGGTGGCTCAGTCGTTAAGCGTCTGCCTTCGGCTCAGGTCATGATCCCAGAGTCCTGGGATCGAGTCCCATATCGGGCTCCCTGCTCTGCGGGAAGCCTGCTTCTCCCTCTCCTACTCCCCCTGCTTGTGTTCCTGCTCTCACTATGTCTCTCTCTGTCAAATAAATAAATAAAAAATCTTTAAAAAAAAAAAAGAAATATGCCTTAAAATGTCTATACCAATATAGTAGGGTATTAGAGAAATTAATAGCATTCACAACTAACAGTGCAATCTTTAATTATAGTGAAATAAAGTAGAATCTCTGTCAGTGTGGTTTAAGGTCCTGCATTCTGTTGATTTCAACACATTTCTTATCTAATTATTGCAGAGCAAGAAATTGAACTTTTCACAGTGGGTTCATCAGCTTGTGGCTCTTCTCCTGGGAGGCAATCACCCTCCTGTCATTAATTAGTGCAGTATTAAAAACAACTAATCAGTTCATGCTACATAATGTCAGTATGTTTATTAGGTGTAGTGATTACAACATAGCACTTATCACTGAATTGCAAGTAAGAGAGACATTCTCAATATTTATGGGACTTTTTTAATGTATAAATATATTTTTAAGGCAAAGGGCAAATACACCTTTTCTTAAGAAAACACAAACATAGGTACATTTGCATAAACATCAAATAACAATTTGTTGACTTTATGAAAGAATTTGTTCAAATAGTAAGCTTTGTTTTAATACATTTGCAATGTTAGATTTTCATGCCTCACTTTGTACTCCACAAAGAATTTTGGTAACCTATGAAAATATATTTATGACAACGGAGGAAAGGAGAGAAGTTCTGCATGTGTTGCTGATGCAGGGTGATGTAGGCAAGACAATCTATTTTAGGCTATTTTATTTGAGATTGGAATAAATATGTTAGGTTTTCTGTCAGTGTGATTAAGGTTGCAGTATAATAGATTAGGAATGTAATTTAAGTAGATTCTGTACCTGTAGAGGTTTTTTTTTTTTTTTTTTTTTGCTGTTTTTTAAGCTATGCTCAGTTGAGAGACTCCACTGTAGGGTTCTCTGACATTCCTTATCAAGTAAATCACATTCTTTAAAATGATATTCTAGTAAGGGATGACAGAGAGAAGATGATCCTTCCTTTTTAATGTTTTTTTTCCCCTGCAACTTCTTTTATATCTTAACACCTAAAAGGTGCCTTACTTATTTTTATATTAAGAAGTCATTATTTAGCCAGAATATTTGGCAGATAAAACTGACCAGAAGATTATTGTATAATATTTAAAAATTATTGATTTTGATGATCTTTTATAAGGAGAATGAAAAATTTAGAAGGGATTTTCATCTAACAGATGATGTATTGGTATTAGAAGAATGTCCTTGTTGTATCTTAACAAATAAAAACATTAAATATGAATATTTATCGTATTTCATGTTCATCATTCTATGTCTAAGTCATATGTTACCATTTGAAAACATTCCCATTTTTTCCCTTTCTTCTCCTTACTTGTCTTCTTCTATCGCCCCCCCCCCCACCTTTCCTTCCTTCCCTCTTTGCTCTTCTCCCTCAAACTCATCCTCAAACACTGAGCCTCCTTCTCCCTGCAGCTTTCACCAGAAGAAGGGTATGTTTCTGCTAAGGAGGATTCCTTTCTCCACCCACCACACTCCTGCAAGGAGGAAGGGCTGGCTGACAGAGCCCTCTTCAGGGCTGACTTGGCTCTGGTTAGTGGCCACAACGTATCAAGTCTTTCAGAAATCTTACGTGTCTTATGTTTTGCCTTCCAAAATATTCTAAAATCTTACTGTATACTCTTTGTTCATAATGTTTTGGAAAACCAAACATTTTCATTTCAACTGTAGTGGTTCTCATAGTTCAAAATAGGAAGAAAAACCGTAACATGTGTGAAAACTATTTGTTGGACTTAGGGAAGAAATTCAGTTAGCAAAGCATTCTGACAACTAGTAGAATTAATCTTTACATCATACCAAAAATTGTTGAAGCAGTCGTTTGCTCTGATTTCATCCTTGGGCCATTTCTAGGCATTTTTTAGCTGTTTTCAGCTAATCAGTTGTTTTGGCTACCTTTTAATGAGGGAACTTACAACTGTATTTTTTCCATTCAATGCAAATAATATGAAAGCCACATAAATTGGTTCAGTTATTAAGTAACACAAAAGCCTCCAAAATAGTCAAAACCCATGTTTTCTAAAATTACAAAATGTAATAAACATCACTGATTTACTAGAACATTTTAAATTAAAATTTTATTTTTACTTGATCTATATAAAATCATTCATTAGAGTAAATGTATTTGTGGCCCACTGGAGACCACTTTGATGAATAAATGCATGCATCTTGCTCCCAAGAACCTCACTGTCTGGTAGAAGAGACAATACTATAGCAATAATTAAGATATAAAGCTAAACACCAGATATAAGGAAACATGTGACGTTTATACAACATAAATATAACAAATTGTACATCCTATTCCATTGCTCCTATTAAAGCCAGGTTCCTGGCCTAACTTTCCTTTTTGGCAAATAATGCCCAGTGTGACTAGAAAGGATATGCCCAGCTTTTGAAATCCTTGTTTCAGTGTATCAGAATAGAGAGTGAGGTTTAGAACCCATGGCTTTCTCCATTATGTACTTATAATCAGTTGTGCACATCTTGCTTGAGAACACAGAGTATGAATTATTTCTTTGATTTTGATGGTCCTAATTTTGGGGAGATCAGTTTTTCTTGTTAATATTTTTCAGTTAACCAGCTCCTGACATTGTCTTTTAGAAAGTTTTGGTGTATATTATAATAAATACAATAATATCACATTACAATATAATTAACAATCCATGACACAAAACTTAGTTAATGCCATCTGCCTAGATAGCGATGTGAAGTATTTACTGTCTAGATTGTTGTACATGATAAACATTTGTGAAGGGTAAACCTCCACAAAGTAATTCACTAGTGAATTTGAACATGTATTTAAAATACATTATTAGAGAGAGGGTCACTTGGAAATGGCATGTATTCTTAGCATGTTTTTGCAAGAATGTGACCTGGTATAATGTTATAATTCTCCTGGCAAAACAAATTGAAATCACAAAGAAGTAGAACACATAGGATTTTGCCATCAAAACAGAAAATGCCGATAGTATCAGAGAAGGGTAGTATTTATGTTCTATCTATTCTAAGGTGTAACTGTAGTGAATTATAAATAGAGCTTTAAGCTCCTCACGAGTTGATTCTTTCACTTGGTTCTGCCACAGAAGATAGTATTAGGTGTTTTAGATAATATATACTGAAATGTTCTACTTTATATGAGTTTTCCAAGAATAGGAGTTTATAACTTCATAGCTTCCCCACAACCATCATTAGGCCCCTTGTCTGTTAGTATAATTTCAGTATGAAATCACAAATATTTTTTTTGCTTTCTGATGATCACCAGCAAATTCCGAATCTGCAACTTGAAAGGTTTTTAAAATCTAGTTTAAAATAACTTAAAATAGGTGTGCCTGAGTGGCTCAGTCAGTTAAGCATCTGACTCTGGATCTCAACTCAGGTCTTGATCTCAGGGTCATGAGTTGAAGCCCCTCATTGGGCTCCATGCTGGATGTGGAGCCCGCTTTAAAAAAATAACTTAAAATACATTGTTTTAGTGAGCTTTAAAAATAGGTAATTGCCTAGCTGCCTTGCTGAATAATAGTTTATTTTAGTTGAATAGGAAAGGTGTTGACCTTATTCATTTTATTATAAAATTCTAGGAGTTGGGCAGGTGGTCTTAAAAAATAACGTGAACTAGAAAAAGTAAGTATTTTCCTTAATTTATGGAACCACTTAAACTTCGAACGGATCCAGGCCCTTTGTTAATTGTTACTGTTGTCCTTTCATTGCTGGAATAGGAACTGCTGGCACCAGTCTGTCCTCATTCCGGTGCCTTAGTCAGTCTCTGATGTGTTGAAGAGGGTGAAGAGGTCATGTTGAAGATAGGATGCATGCCGGTATGCTTTTTCGTCTCAAGTGGAGACTTGGCATACACGTAACCAGAATTTGCAGCTGATATTATCATTTTGATTCCTAGGTGGACACAAATGAGGCCGCCTTAGATGAATCGACACTGGAGTCTCAGTACTCTCCTGATAATGGCAGTATCTACTCCACTCAAGCCTCTATTTTATCTCTTCATGGAAGTGCTGGTAGTGATGGCCTGAACTCCGGTCCCCCCCTCCCATCTTCTCCTCCCAAGGTACGAAGGAATTGCATTTTATTTACAGGAGGGCCCTGTGCGTAATTCTCTAGAGGTCAATGTTTATGGGGGATGGTGGGAGTAGTTTGGTAGAGGTGTTACGTTTTTCCAGTCTTGGATTTATTATCAGATTAAAGTGTAGTTCCATTTGGGTAGTGTTGATTGAGCATCTTTCAGACCACTAGGTACTATTTAAATCTAGGATCTGTTGTACAGAACGAGAGAGACAAGGGTCCAAGGCTTTGAGTAGGATTTACATGATAGAAAAGTTTCAATGAAATGTATTTCTCAAATTGTGTATTTAGCTGTGTCTGCTTTAGAAAAATCATGAGGATTACTTTATTTTCTTAATGGTTTTAAAATTGATTTTCACGCAGAGTTGGATAGTAAAATATTTCTTGCATTAATTTAATATTTACTAACAAGATAAATTTAATACTGTCATATTTTTATATAAAATGATGCCAAAAAATACTTTATATAGAAATCACAGTGAATGGCAAAGTATAGTTAAGTCTCTGGATATGAATGAAGACTTTAGTTACTGTTTGACATATCTGTGCCATGTATATTTTAGAAATAGATTATTGGCATAAATGCCCCAACTCTTCTTCCTTTTCTTGGTGATGTACTTTATAATGCTTAGTAAATAATATTTTAAAACCTACCCAATCTTTTGGGCATGAAATGGTATCTTACTATTTGCATTTGAAGTTCTGCTTTTTAGTGGGGTTGAACACTGTTTCATATATTGGTCCTTCAGTTTTCACTTGTGTCAGTGACCTCTTCATGTCTTTTGGCAATTTTTATATTGTGTTGTCTGTCTTCCTATTGATTTGTTGGAGTTTTGGTTTTTTTTTATATTTTCTAGAAATACAAATACAAATACACAAAAGAGTTCAGTGTATTTTATGAGTATGTGTGTGAGTATGTGTATTAAAAAAGCCAAAAATGTGTAGGAATGACTTTTTTCAACTTCAGGAAAGAAGTTATTCTTTGAGAAAGAAGGAAGCATGGGGATTCGGCTGTAATTGTAATACATTATATCCTTTTACAAGGAAAGAGAGATTGAAGAAAATATGGCAAAATGTTAACATCTGGGCAAAGAGTTCATGTATGGATATAATTTCTTTATTCTTCCGTGTTGGAAATATACCACAAATAAACATTAAAAATCAAGATAAAACAACTAGACGGTAACTTTCTTAAATACATGAAATACATATTTTCCATATAAATTAAATTCAGCAGGAAGGAAATCTGCATTTTTGAGTAAGATGGAAAATAGACTTTCCACAGGTCTAGCACAGTTTTCCTCCTTTTCTGATTAACAAGTAATTTTTTGGCCAGAACCTTTTCAAAGCATTTTCTTTTATGTTCAGGGTGCACCTGTTATCCTTGCAAATGATGCTAGGAAATCTCCTTGAATTGCTTTGCAAGGTATAATCTTGAATGGAGCAGCTGCTCCTCTCTCGCCACACCTGAGACTGTCTGTGTGCCTGCGTCCTGTCTGGAACGTGTTCAGGCTTTACTGGCCTCGGGGCTGGAAGCTGAGTTCATCTCCTAATGGACTCTCCTAATCCACAGCGGAGCGCACTGCTTCTTGCCAGTGGGACAGATTGCATTGTTTAACTTAGTAATTGTTACTTAAAGGGATTACACAATCTGCATACTGAGAAGCATGTATTTTACAGGGCAAATGCTGGTTGTATGCAGCACAACATATTGGCTTACTGAAGTCTATTTGCCTCTTTTTTTTTTTCTTGAGCAGTTTACTCTTTTGTTGAAGCAGATTTTGGCAAGCTGGCCTATCAACTGAAATATTTAAACTACAAAACAACAAAGAAGACATTAATGAGGTTGTTTTAAAAACACACTGAAACTACTCTGTGTACTTTCAGTTTTCTTAGAAAGTAGGACTGTTTCTGCATCGTGGTAAATCTCTGCAACATTGTTTTTATTTTTGTTTTTGTTTTGTGGTGTCTTTATAGCACCAAGATATTTACCAGAAGATTATGTGTAAATAAAAAATTAGATGATGTATTCATTTTCCTATTTCTTTGCACTAAATTTATTTTAAAAAGATAGAATGGCAATTTGTTATGGAATTTAGAACTGGCCATTTTTTTTCTGGCCATTTTTCTTAAGAGTGCGCTCACTTTGGAACCCTCTAATTGATAACATAAAATCTTGTAAGATATTTAAGACAGAGAAGCCTCCATACTGATTTAAAGAAGTGTAAAATTGAGTTTGAGGATCTCAGTGATTCCTAGGTTTTTGACTTTGCTAGATATGTAATAATCTTGGTGGTTGGAAATGCACAGATAATTTCACCTTTCTTCTTACCTTAATGAGAAATCTTTGATCTTGGTCAGGTACACTGCCAGAAGTTTTAAGAACTAATCACCCAGAGCTGGGACTCATCATAGGAGGGAGGCCTAACTCCTAAAAGCAGAGTGTGGGCCTGACAGCAGCTTAAATACCAAAGGCTCCTAGGCATATGTTGGAACTCCTTTGTCCAAAATTCTCCCATCTGGGAGACCATTCTGATTTTTTTTAAGGAGTGGTGTTCACTTAATTTGATTAATTATCATTTAAGGAAAATAACCATTACTCAAGAATCTGAAAAATACTGTAGAGCTACTTCTATGGCATTTGGACTAATAGAGGCAAGTCATTGAGATGTGAATTTTAAAGGCAAAAACCCAGTGGGTTTTCTCATTGTTGTAGGTTTAAATTTTTTTCTTTTTATCCCCCTTTCCTTGTCACCCTTAAAGACAACAAAATGCAGAAATAATTGTTTTCCAAACTTAAACGCTTGTAGACTTCTGTTTAAAAGCTCAACATGGTTTTGGGGAGAAGATGCTTTCATTTATTTTTTTCTGTTTTGGATTTAAATACACCCAATAAAGATTATTTATGTAATGAGTCTCCCCGTCTACTCCTTATCCTCCCAAGCCCCACCCTCCGTTGTATATCGACACTCACTGTCGCTCCAGGGATGAAATGACTACCAGTTTGGTGCATGTCCTTCGTTCCTCATACTGGTCCACTAGGAAATGCTATTGATTCTAGTGCAAGTTGAACTCAGTGTTCGTCAAGCTAGAAGCCCCTCCTTGCACCTTGCACACAAAACATAGCCAGTGGATTCCATGATTTAAAAAAAAAAAATCTACCTGTTCCTAGAGATCTCTACCTACTGTCATTCTGTAGCATCAGTATTGCTGCCTTCACACCCATGCTTAAAATGTTTGCTTGTTTCTTTTTTTGGAGAAACAGTTAGTGTCAAAAACTAATGAGATCACTCTAGTCAAGATGATGAGAGTGATTGTGGAAGTCTTGGTGACAAAACTGCAAGCTCTCAAAGTATAAAAGAAGTCCCTTTTTTGCTCAGTAGGGTCGGTACACAAACAACAGAGGAAGTACTATACCTTATCTCAGAAAGAGGGGGGAAAGGACAGTAAATTGAAGTGGCTGTGCTTTTAGTATGTTTTCCCACAGTGTGGAAGGGTTTCTGTGGTAGACCGCTTATGAAGAAGATCAGGTTGTGTCCAGTGAGTGTTTCAATACTTGGCTAGTCTATATAAATAAATCATCTGGGTAAATAGCGTGCCCAGGTATCATCCTAACTTACTCATCACCCTTAAACAGCTCTTTTCAAGTGTATTTGACATTTTTATTTAACCTGTCTCTCTCTCTCTCTTTTTTTTTTTCCAGAGAACAAGAATATATCAAGTAGAGGGGCGCCTGGGTGGGCTCAGTTATTAAGCGTCTGCCTTTGGCTCAGGTCATGATCCCAGGGTTCAGGGATCGAGCCCTGCATCGGGCTCTCTGCTCAGCAGGAAGCCTGCTTCTCCCTCTCCCACTCCCCCTGCTTTTGTTCTCTCTCTTGCACTGTCTCTCTGTCAAATAAATAAATAAAATCTTTAAAAAAAAAAAAAGAATATATCAAGTAGAGGCACGTGTTAATGTGGATTTTTACAAGACTTCAGTTTAGGTACCAAGTTGCACTGGGAAATTATAGAGTTCTTTTCGAATATCTTACAAGGGAAGAACTGCTTTTCTTTTAGATCCCTAAGACTTTTAAAAATAAAACTCAGTTGGTTGTTCAGCAACCAGAAACGTTTCTGAAGTAGGCGTATGTTGTCTGCTGTGTTGATTAGCTCTTTCTTTTCTATGTGTCTGTGTTAACTCCTTTATGAATAATGCATGGAAATTTCTGTCATACGATTTATAGTAAACCCTAGCTAACAAGGGCGGCTTGACCTCCTTTTGTGATGAAAAGCAGTTTTAATTGTTATCTTTATTTGAGGCCTGGGGAAGATGATATACTGCTAAATATTATAATTAATTTAGTAATACAGAAGCTAATTCTGTAGTAAGTGCATTGTTATTTTTCATTAGAACAAAGTCATCAAATTTGGGTGAATGGGCCAACAGGTTATTGTCTAGGTTCCAGCAATGTGGAGGATGATGGTTTCCTGTCGTTGTTCCTGAAGAGTCTAACAATGTTCCTGGCTTGTACGATATTCCCACTTGCCTCAATTCTTTGTACCAGGAATATTTGATAATTCCAGAGAGATAACTTATGCTGATAAGAGGAATGTAATTAACTCTGTTGGAAAAATTGATTACCCTTCTAGAAAAAATAGAAAGAGATCCATATCTCACACCACACCCTGAAATAAATTCTAGAAGGATTAGAACTGAATCTGAAAAGAAAGCATTTATAAAACAGAAGAAAAATACTAGAAAGCATTTCATTTTCTTTGTGTGGAAGGACTTGTTAAGCAACTTTTGAAACTCTGTAGCACAGAAAATTTTGACAAATTTGATTATGTAAAGAATTTCATAAAGAGTTACATAAAGAATTCTTGATTACATAAATAATTTAATTTCTGCAAATATATCTATATAACATACAAACTGAAAAGATAAGTAACAGACTGGGGAAATACTTGTGGTATATATTACAGACTTTACCTACAGAGTATATCAATGACAGGAACAAGCGGAAACCCCCTGATGAAAAGTTGGATATAATATATGAAGAGAATGTTGACAGGAGATATATAAATGGCATGTCCTCATTAATTGTCAGGGACATGCATAGTAAATGCTAAGGTTTATATTTATTAGAATATGTTTCTTTCAGATCAAATTACCAAACTAATTTAGGGTTGGCAAGATTAGTTCACAGGTAGTCCCAAATTTTTGTGAGAGAAAATTGGAAGACTATTTGGCAATATGTACCAATATTTTAAGTGCCCGTATTATTTGGCCCATAATTTTAGGAGTTTATACTAAATAAATTTTCTCACATGCACAAAGATGTGTAATAAAAATAACAGTAATGGCTAACAGTTATTGGGTATTTTCTGTTAAGCCAGATGTGTTATTTAGTACTTTGTGGTATTAACTCTCTCTGTCCTCCCAATAGTCCTGAATTATTTTTATGTTCTGCAATTAATAGATGAAGGGACCAAGGCACAGAGGATGCTAGTGGTGCAGTGAGCGTCTGAACATGCACTCCAGCGTCTGTACTCCAGGGCCCTTCAGACTTAGGAGTAGTTTTGTGGTCATAAGAAGATTGAGGTTGACATTTATTTACTGACATGGAAATCTCTCATGTCTAGATATAAAGATACCTCAAAAAAGAAAGTAAAAACATTCTACTTAATGTTTTAAAAATGTATAACTGCATGTATATGTGAGTGTGTATTTGTACTTGTACATATTTAGTATGCAAATGAATAAAAAATTCTGACAGACATTCAGCTGATTCCAGCTATTTCTACCAGGGAAAAAATGGAAGTAGGACCCATAGGGAGAGCTTTCATATTATACTCTCTATATACACACATATATATACCTGCATGGCTTGAATCTTTTCTGATGATAATGTATCCATATGCTGCTTTCATACTTTAAAAATATTAATAAGAGAATTGTAGGACAAACATATGTTTATTCAATAGCAGTTGCTGGAGCAACTGCTTGCCCAAAGCACATAAGTGATAGAATATATCTGTTGTAAATAGATGTATACATATATGTCAAACTAGAATTTTAGCGTTTCGGGGAATTTTAGAAATTAAATAAGTCAAGAGAGGTTCTGTTATGATGTAAGAGAGCCTAGATTAGAGCCTACATCTTATTATACACCTTCTTAGTATTCCCTTTGTTTATCTTGCAGAATATTTATGAAAGTTTTCCCTATAATAATTTGAACTACATAGCTTTTTGTTCTCCTTAAATACCTAGAAATGCCTATCAAAATAACTTTTCCTTGGAGATTCTTATAAATCAGAATCAATATTCTCTTTACGTTCTTGATCTTACATAGGAACTTCATACTGATTGAAAATGAACTACTCTTTAAGATTTGAAAGTAGACGTTACTTGCTTTCCTGTGTGGATTGAACTATAATTTTATTTGTGAACAGAACATAATATTGTATCTAAATGATCTCATGTACAATATATAGTACAAGTATAACCCACTTGAACATGACATACATGATCTGCAGGAAAGGCATACAAAAGCATTTATAAAAATAAAGATATGCAGAATGTCAGCTAAGAGAAGAATTTGTATGTTTGCTAATACTTCTTGAGTAATGAAAATTATATTGTGTTTTGTTTTCCACTAGTTATTCATTAAGAAATGGTCTTGCAAAATACATTGATGTAACTCTGGCTGTGATTTTTTATTGTTTGTTCTTTAATCATCAGGATGTTATTGAAAATTCTTCAGATCCAGTACTTGATCTGCACATGTCCTTGGAGGAACTATACACCCAGAATCTCCTGCAAAGACAGGATGAGAGTCCATCTTCAGTAGACTTGAGCATGGGGCCTGCCTCTGGCTTTACTGTAAATGATTATACCCCTGCAAATGCTATTGAACAGCCGTACAAATGTGAAAACACAAGAACGTGGGCTGAATCTCACCTACCAAATGAAATGATATCAAGTGCAGAACTTACTTCTCCCATGCTACCTGATTCAACTGGAAAGGTAACATTTTAAGACATGTATTGTATATGATGATGAGGTTGGAAACAGTGACACGTTGGAGTATTCTGGCTGATCTCTGCATTTGGAGCAAGTGCTCTCTTGACATTGAGATTTTCAGAATCCAACCTATGAACTTATTGGTTATAGCTTCCTGCTGAAGAAGGCATAACCAATTAGAGAACATGAGTGATGTTGAAATACTCCAAAGTCTTGTTTTCCTTTCCATGTGAATTATTTATTTATTTATTTATTTATTTTCTGTCAGGGCTCCGAGTTCTTAATTCAGCAGAGCTCCCTGACCTCAACTGCGGAGTGCGTCATGCTCCAAAACCTGTCCAAAGAATCGTTTGAGAGGACTATTACTATAGCAAAAGGCAACTCCAGCCTAGGTAAGTGCCTTCCTTTGCACACCTATCTTCCCTCTCAACTCCCTTGCCAGAGACAAAGTCTTGAGCATGGTTTCAGCATTGTTGGCCGTAAGCAGTAAAATAGATGTCATAAATGTTCCTGTAGTTTTTCTGGTTTCTCTTTTTATGTACTCTTTATTTTTCCTGAAATGGTTAACAGGTTTGTTTACTTCAGACTAGCTTAAATCCTCACTCTCTTAATTATTTAAAAGTATTCATGAGCCTCATTCACATTCAAGTAAAAGATATATGAATTGTTTGTGTATGAAACAGCAAATCAGAAAAGGAATTCTTAGAAAATGAAAAGTCAGCAATTTGGAATTTAGAATTCTTTGAAAAAGTAAATTATTAGTTTCTTTGAATGTTACCAGTTATGCATAAGTCAGTTTGTATTTAATTTATCTCATTCAGTGAAATAAAGACTAAAAAGACAGCCAGGTGTGCTACCACCAAACTATAAATGCAAGTTATTCAATATTTCTTTCCAGGTGGCAGGATTTTTGTGTCCTCTTTTACCCATAAAGGGGCTGAGGCTGGTTAATAATCACAAACCTACTGAATTGGGCAAAGAAGATTTCCTGTACAAATAAGATCCTAATTACAATAGCTAAAACTATATGGAGGCAGAGCACATTTGTTCTTTTGCGTTCATGACTCAGCTCTGTCCCTAGTGCTTGGTGCTGTTAAATAGGATCGTAACTTAGTTGCTCTGGATGCCCAGTCGTAGCCCAAGACACTGTTTAGCTCTACATCAGAGATCTTGTTCCTTCTATCATGTAACCAAGCAATGCCCTTTGCATTGATATCTTATGGCAGAGTCTTGTTTCCTTGTTAAGTTTGAGACTTGGCAGTGAAGTCTAACCGTGCTTACTTGGTGAGTAGAATTCCAGTCTCTGTCTCCTTCTAAATTTTGTTCCATTTGGTGGCAGCTGGGTACTACTAACAGCAGCTAAATGGGGAACTATAGCAGAGAATTTTTACTTAACTTTACTATTTCTTTCATATTACACTGAATAGAGTAATCTAAAACTTAAGCTATAGAACTTTCTATAATTTGTTAATTATGAGACAGATATCATAGATATCTAAACATGTCAGAAATATTTCATCTGTTAAAGTGTTTCTGAAAGCATGTTACTTTGAATACTAGTTTTATAGGATGTTAATGGAAGTTATAAATGGGCTACAAGTTTAGAAGTTGGGAATGTGATACACTTAAGGAGACAGGTTTTTATTTGTATTACTTCTCAGTATCTTTGGTATTCAAATGTGCGTTGTGGATGTCTAAGAAGTTATAGAATGCAGCATTTCTTATATTTAATTGACCATGGAACCCATTTTTTTTTTACCTTCTTATAAGGCAGAGATTTTGCAAAGCCCAGGTGAAAATTCCTATTCTAATGTATTTATTTATTCAACTATTGAACATTTATTGTTTTCTATATTCTAGTCACTATGCATGGACACCATGATTTAACCACTTTCCTCAAGGATCAAGAGTGTAAGAGAGTAAGCAAATTGACATATCAAATCCTAAATGCATTAAAGTACTGTACATGCTCTGCTAGACATTCATAGCAAGAACATGGAAGGCGTAAAGGAGGGAATAGCGGATCCCTACTCTGAGCGTGGAGGAGTTTAGAAAGATTTCAAGGAGATTTTTATCACATAATTGGGGAAAATTGGAAGCTCCTAGTGCTGAGGCAGACATGTGAAGCACTACTGAACTTTGTGTGGCGTGGATGAAGTGAGGTGTGACAGGGGGCGGAGTGAGACGTGATGCTAACGGAATGGTAGGTGGGATACAGTTGCTGGAGGGGTTCATGTGCAGGACACAGGACTTCTGTCCTAGCACCCTCCTGCTGGAGGTTCCTACAGGCAGCAGTTGCTGAGGGCAGAAGAGTGACAGGGTCAGATTGGGTTTTAAGATGATTCTGGCTTAGACTGGTAAAGTATTTTGGAAGCCACCAGGAGACTCAATTAACAGTCATGGTTTGACCATACCTGGTTTTACAAACCGACCCTTTGGATTGCTTGCCTATTTTTAGTTTGCTGAGAGAATGTTGAATTTTGTCAAATATTTTTCTTCCTCTATTGAGACAGCCAAATGGGTTTTTGTTTGTTCTTTTAGTATGTTAGGCTACATCATTCTTCAGTGTGGTCTAAGATACATAAAACTGACCATTTTAAATATTTCTAAGTGTACATTCCTGTGACGGGTAAGTCCATTTACATTGTTGTGCAGCTGTCACCACCAAACATCTCTAGTATTTTTTCATCTTTTCCTATTGAAACTCTATACTCATTAAATAATAAATATCCTCCCTGTCCCCTAGTTCCTGGCAGCCATTCTACTGTCTGTCTCTATAAACCTTGACTATCCTAAGTACCTCATGTAAGTGGACTCATACAGTATTTGTCCCTTTGTGACTAGCTTATTCACTTAGCAGAATGTCTTCAAAGCTCATCCATTCATAGCATGTGTCAGAATTTCCTTCCTTTTTAAAAAAAATATTTTCAGAATTTCCTTCCTTTTTAAGGCTGAGTATTCCATTTGTTTATTCCTTCATTTGTTGTTGGACACTTGGGTTGCTTCTACCTTAACTTCTGAGTTTTGACATAAAAAAAAATACTAAGATGATTAAGCTCTTGGGGAAAAAAAGTAGTGAAAGGTGAAGTGTTCTTGCTTTCTATTATATCAGGATATTCATTTAAACCTTTATTTTATTTTTAAAATTATTTATTTATTTAAAGAGAGTGTAAGCAGGGGGAGGGACAGAGGTAGAGGGGGAGAGGGAATCTTAAGCAGGCTCCATGTGCAGTGCAGAGCCCAACACGGGGCTCGATCTCACGACTCTGAGATCATGAACTGAGCTGAAATCAAGAGTTGGATGCTTAACCAGCTGAGCCACCCAGTCACCTCTGATTTTAAAATTAAAGCATAAGAGTTCTTTGCCACATCTACTGTGAGAGCGAAAGACCACTGTCAACACTCTGTCAACACAGAAGAAGTCGACCTCACTCTGAAGGGATGCACTGGTATTGTGAAGGGTCCCAGAGGAACCCTGCGAAGGGACATCAGTCACATCCATGTAGAGCTCAGTCTCCTTGGAAAGCAAAAGAAGAGGCTCTGAGTTGACAAATGGCTGGGGACTGAACAGAACGGGCTACTGCCCATGGTAATCTGTTGTCATGCAGAGAACACGACCAAGGGTGTTACACTGGGCTTCCAGTACAAGATCAGGTCTGTGAATGGTCAATTCCCCATCGATGTTGTTATTCAGGAGAATGGTTCTCTTGTTGAAATCCAAAATGTCTTGGGTGAAAAATACATCTGCAGGGTTCAGATGAGGCCAAGTGTTGCTTGTTCGGTATCTCAAACCCAGAAACATGAGTTAATTCTTGAAGGAAATGATATTGAACCTGTATCAAACTCAGCTGCTCTGATTCAGCAAGCCACAACAGTTAAAAGCAAGGATATCAGAAAATTTTTGGATGGTATCTATGTTTTTAAAAAAGGAACAGTTCAGCAGGCTGATGAATGAGATCTAAGTCATCCAGCTATAGAAACAGCAAGATGCCAGATGATTTTTCAGACTTATTTATGAAATCTTAAAGATGCAATAAAAGCTGTATTGATTTGCAGCTTTTTCTTAAAATTAAAGCCTAAGGAAGCCCTTTCATTTGCTTTGTGAGACTAAACCACTTACTTGTAAGTGTGACATTATACCCTCATTAGTTTACCAACTAAATTGTAATATCAAAAGTATAAGTAACTTTTAGTGTTATTTCTCTGGTTCATTGACATTATTTGAAATAATTTATGTATGCAAAATATTTACAGGGCTTTGTCCCAGGATGTTAGACTTTCTGGAACCCAGTGAGGTTTCTCTAGCATTTTGGGGTTTGCATTCAGTATGCCAAAGAGAGAACATTTCTCTATGATCTCAAATGACAGATGTTCAATATTCAGATTTTTATAGCACTTAGAGTAACTACATATGAACGGAATCACAAAAAAGGACTATTCAAAAAAGTCTATGTAAAGCATTAAAATAATTAAAGCATTCATTTAAGCTTTTAATGTAAGAAGGTGTTGTCTTTACAACTTAAAGTAATAAAAAGCATGTTTATGTTTTAGAAAACCTAACTAGAGGCTGGCTTTGTGTTGGTAGGAGAGTATGTTACAATAGGGTCTATCACTGAACACATTTTTCTTTTTTTGACAGAGAGAGACACAACGAGAGAGGGAATACAAGCAGGGGAGTAGGAGAGGGAGAAGCAGGCTTCCCGCTGAGCAGGGAACCCGATGCGGGGCTTGATCCCAGAACCCTGGGACCATGACCTGAGCCGAAGGCAGACACTTAACAACTGAGCCGCCCAGGCACCCCTGAGCACATTTTTCTTAGATTCAGATTCTCCCTTTAATCAACTGTGTAAGGTTGTTTGCAGCTTTAGCCTTCTGGATTATTTGTTTCTTTCTCAAGGGTTAACCAGAGAAATTATTAATAAATGACAGGTTTCCATAAAAGCTGCCACATTCTGTTTGCTTTGATGTCACAAATCACTTTTTTTTACTTTGTTAAATTTAAGGGAGGAATGTTATATGCAGATATACTACATACACATGCATATAGTGATTTTTAAAAAAAATTTGGTCTTGGTGATTTTTCATAAGGTTTATGGTCCATTGGATAATTATGTTGTGTTAGGACTTAGAAAGTAAAAAGAAAAGGTTAAAAAAGATAAGAAGGAAAGAAAGGTATTATCCTCTTTTCACTGATTAGGACTAGAAACCTAGACAGACTCAGGAATTTCTCTGTAGGTACTCAGCTGTTAGAGAGTAGAACCAGTACTCAAACCTTAGTCTGTCTCTGATTTTCATGTACCGTATAATACATTTCAGTGCTTGAGTTACCCAAGGCTACATCAAGATTGCTCAAAGAAGTTTCATTTTGAAGCTGAATTAAGATTTGCATTTAGCCCTTAGAGAGCAATGTAGCTTTGGATTGGGATAGAGATGCATTTAAAATACATTTTGTGAGTTTCCTTTTGTTTTTATTTTGTACTTTATTGAGCACTTTGTGCCAGGCACTTTGAAAGGAACTCCACATGTTTTTCTCAGATAATTCTCTAAACAACCCTAAAAGGGGGCATGATTCCCATTTTACAGATGAGTAAAATGAAGCCAAGGGTGACATTAAGTCAGCTCGAGGCCACACTGATTAAAAGTGGTGGAACTCAGATTTGGAACCAGTTCTCTGGTTCTACCGTACATGCTTTGGGCTATTCTATTACACTTCTTCCAGGAAAAATTCGAGAGATCTTAGAAGTTACAACCAAAATCTAATTAGTGGCTATTACATCTAATTTGTTGAACCTGCAGAATTATCATTTGGTGATAGGGGATTCTAAGCTGAGCAAACTGTGCCAACTTCTGGTTTATGTAGTTGATGTGACCTGGTGGCCTTAATAGTGATAGCTGATAGAACTGTGAGTTAAACATACCATTAAAAATGAACTTAGAGGTCATGTTTACTATAGCTCACAGTGACTTGTCCCACGTCTGTGACTTGCTTTGTTGTAGAGTGCATGGTGCTAGTGAGAACAAGATGATGGGTTAGAGTCCTGGTACAGGCCACCAAATTAAATTTTGTTTCATAGTCATGCATTTTAGTTTTACTATAGTACAGTTGTTTGGTGGGTCTTGGGGGAAGGGTGGCAGCATCCGGGCAAACTAGAGTCCCTATTAAAACATTTCAGAGCCACCTGTTTGCTCATAAGAAACCCATCTTGGATGAAACAGTGTCTAAACTTTTTTGTTGGTTTATGGTAAGCAGAGGTGTTTTCTTGACAATAATACATTTAAAGTATTTGTCTTTCTCTGACTTATTTCACTTAATGTTCCATCCATGCCATCACAAATGGCAAGGCTTCCTTCTTTTTGATGGCTGAGTAATATTCCATTATATATATATAGATATATATACACATACACATTATATATACACATATACACACATTATACACACACACTCTCCACATCTTCTTTATCCATTCATCAGTCGATGGGCACTTGGGCTCTTTCCATAGTTTGGCTATTGTTGATAATGCTGCTGTGATTTCACTTATATGTGGAATTTAAGAAACAAAACAGATGAACACAAGGGACGCGAAGGAAAAATAAAATAATATAAAAACAGAGAGAAAGGCAAACATAAGAGACTCTTAACTATAGAGAACAAACTTAGGGTTGCTGGAGGGGGATAGGTAGCGGGAAGGATGGGTTGAAATGGGGGATGGGCATTAAGGAGGGCACTTGTGATGAGCACTGAGTGTTGTATGTAAGTAATGAATCACTAAATTCTCCTCCTGAAACCAATACTACACTATATGTTAACTAACTTGAATTTAAATAAAAACTTGGGGAAAAAAAGAAAATTTCCCAGGAAACAGTTCTTAGGAACATTAAAATCAATAAATGTGCTTCCAAAAAATAATAAAAAATAAAAAAATAAAATGTCCATTATAGTGGACTATTATTCAGCCATGAGAAAGGAGGAACTCCTGCCATTTGTCACTACATGGATGGACCTAAGTGAAATAAGCCAGAGAAAGATAAATACTGCGTGATCTCATTTATGTGTGGAAACTTTTTTAAAAGTTTAACTCACAGAAACAGAGTAGAATAGTGTTTTCCAGGGGCTGAAGGATGGGGAAAATGGGGAGATGCTGGTCAAAGGATACAAGCCTTCAGCTGTGAGATGAGCCAGTTCTGGGGAATCTCATGTCCAGTACGCTGACCATAGTACTATATTGTATACTTAAAATGTGCTAAAAGAATCAATCTTAAGTGTTCTCATACACACAAAAAAGGTAACTATGTAAGTAACTGAACTGTGGTGGTGACCATTTCACAAGGTATATGTCTATCAAATCATCACATTATATGCTTGAAATGTATATAGTTTCTTTGTCAATTATACTTCGATCAAGCTGTTGGAAAAAAAGAATCTCCATGGCTGGGAAAATTGAGGTAGAGCCGAGAACTAGCAAATTTCCTATGATGATGTAAAACAGGGGTCAGCACACTTTCTCTGTAAAGGACCAGACAGTAAATACATTCGATTGTGTAGGGGATACAACCTCTGTTGTGCCTGCTCAGCTCTGCTGGTGCAGCATGGACACAGCCATGGAAGATCCATCAGTGAACAGCCACAGTCAGGTTCCAATAAAACTTCATTTGTGGTTGCTAAAAAAATAAAGATAAAAATCATTAGTGTAAGTCTTAACAGAATATTTTAAATACATTTGATAATGGTTCATTTCTACGAGAGAACTATAGCTAGGTAACTAGAGCTCAGATGTCCCATATCTAGACATGAAATACCAAGTTGGAAACATATTATAGTCAGGATTGTTCTTAAAAAGATACTTGAAATATGGGGCACCTGGGTGGCTCAGTCGGTTAAGCATCTGCCTTCGGCTCAGGTCATGATCCCCAGGGTCCTGGGATCGAGTCCTGCATCAGGCTCCTTGCTCAGCGGGGAGTCTGCTTCTCCCTCTCCCTCTGCCCCTCCCTGCTCATGCTCTCTCTCGCTCACTCTCTCCCTCTCAAATAATTAATAAAATCTTTTAAAAATTAAGAAAAAATATTTGAAATATGTCTAATTTGGTATTGTTAAAATTAATATTTAGAAGAATTTCTTTATTTTTATATAAAAAATACAAACCTAAAAAGGAATTTGTGATGTCTCTCAAAGCCAGTTTTTATAAACTACCCTTATAGCTTTATAGCTCTCCTTACATTATTTAATTACATAAACTTGTTTGGAAGGAACTTTTAGCACTTGGTTTTACGTGAATTTACTTACATTTTTTTTAAAAAAATTTTTAAAGATTTATTTATTTGAGAGAGAGAGAGCACAAAAGGGGGTAGGGCCAGAGGGAGAAGCAGACTCCCCGCAGAGCAGGGAGCCCAACGTGGAGCTCAATCCCAGGACCCTGGGATCATGACCTGAGCCGAAGGCAGATGCTTAACCAACTGAGCCACCCAGGTGCCCCTCCTTACATTAATTTTATATAAAATTTTAAACATAATTTCAAAAGGTTTTATATTTTTGAAGAAGTAGAGTGAAGGTAGGATGAGAAGGAAACATAAATTCAGAGGGTGTTTATTGAGAAACCCTTTCTCAGGGAGTGGTATTGAAGAGTGAGAAGGAATTGGCTGTGCGAGAGCTGCAGGAAGAGGGTGTCAGGCAAAGACTGAAGTGGGGAGAGACTGGGTGTATTTCAGAAAGCAGTCCATGAGGCTGGAGGCCAGGGAGCCAAGGGCATGGTGCTCAAGACGGGTGATGTCGGGAGGGCCAGTCCATCAGTGCCCTACATCTGTGCCAATTAGGTGTGCTGTATATGAAGCACCACGGGACACCGGTAACGGATTGTTAGCTAGGGAGTGATGTGATCTGTCTCTTTTGAATGGTCGCTGTGTCTGTTCTGAGAAGAACACATTGGCAGTTGTCAGGAGACCAATTAGGAAGAGCAATTAGGAAGCTCTTTCAAAAAGTGAGGCAAGGAGTGCCGGCTTGGTGTAGGGTTAGTGTAGAAACAGTGAAAGATGGATGCATTCGAGATAAATTTTGGAGCTAGAAATGACAGGACATGGTGATGGATTAGAGATAAGAGGTGAGCGAGGGAGTTAGGAATGAGGAACCACTCCAGCATTTCTGCTTTGAGAGATGCAGAGGAGCATAATGATGCCCTTAGCAAAGAGAGGAAGGGACCTGGTGAAATAAGGGAAGTGAAAACTTGGAAATTCAATTTTATATATACTAAGGTTGCGTTTCCTGTTAGCCATCTAGGGAACATGTCAGGCAATGAAATACCCAGATCTGGAGCTCCTAGAACTTCAGATTTAGAGATGAAATGGGAAGAGATTAGAATTAGGTCCACATCACTTCAGTTAAACAGACTGTACATCAGGCACTGAGGATAAGACTTGAATACAAGCTTCTTGGTGTTAGGTATGCTTTTTTCATCTCAAGAAATCATCATAGAACTTGGCACATAGTAAGTATATAGTAAATATATAGTGAATGAATAAATGATGTAGAAATAAGGTAATAGCATGGAGTTTCTTAATTTATACAACTCATTTTCCATTTGTAGTCTTGCTCTTTATTCTCTTCTATGTATAAGAGATGAACTGCTATAAAATTGATCTGTTATTGTCAAAATACCTTCCTTGGGAGAGTTTTCTATTTAGGGGGCAACACATCAAATAGCCTGAGTTATATTCACTCCACAGCGTAGACCTATTTCATCTCCAGTATATTCAACATAGAATGTCTTTTTCTAGATACAGGTTCAGAAACATTTTAAAATGTACTTAAAATATATTTTGTGTTAGAAACTTTTTTCTTTCCTTTTGATTGTTTTTTTATTGGATAAAAAAGTTACTCCTATTCTTTTATCTATGAATCCATAGGGATTATTAAATTCAAGTTAAAATGAATTTCAGGGTCATGAATTTGATACATATCTGTGCTCCTCCTTTACCATAGGGATGACAGTGAGTGCTAATAAGGATGGCTTGGGGATGATCGTTCGAAGCATTATTCATGGAGGTTCCATTAGTCGAGATGGCCGGATTGCTGTTGGGGACTGCATCTTATCTATTAATGAAGAATCTACTATCAGTTTAACCAATGCCCAGGCACGAGCGATGTTGAGAAGACACTCTCTCATTGGGCCTGACATAAAGTAAGTATCATTTGGACTCCAGTTTGGCTTGGGAAATTCGAGAATTTCAATTCATGAGTCAGAATTTTTTTTTCAGTATGTACTTCTGTTTAATATGCAAAAATTATCACATATTTATTAAAAATAAAACCCTCAGGAATTTGACTATTCCTGAATAGTTCTTGATTGTAGGTATAGTTTCTTTAAGACTATACGATGTTGAAATATTTGAAAACGATTTGCCTCCTGTGTTTAATTTTACTCCAGTGCTTTGCAAAAACCTGAGACATCTCTCACAGAGCAGGAGGGTCCACTCAGGATCTTACAAAGAAGTTGGCCTCAATGTAAGGGACTGTGTACTACCTAATTGATGTATATGAATCCTAGGACTAAGCTAGTTCTTTAATGGCCAGTCATGGAAAAGACCATATAGAACAGCATCAGTCTGACCCATAATTTACCATTTGGTCAACTACCTCATGATCCAAGAGCAGTCACCAGTATATTGGTATAGTCCAATTGTAGGTCACATAGGATATTTTGTCAGGAAGTGCTTAAACTATCCCATAATCCCATAATGTGCTAAAAGCACGTTATAGATGTGGCTTGGTTTTTAAAGTTACTAAACATTTCTTGAGCCAACATAAAAATCAGTTCATGACTCTGTCACACCTCATCAATGTAATAGCTTGGCTTTTTTTCTCTAGCATTAACCATTGAATATTTTTATATAATGTATAAGGGATAAAATAGTAAAATAAGAGCTCAGGGAAAGATTATTTACCTTAAATTAATGTAATGATTACCATTATGGGAAACTTTGCTGTATTAATGTTATTTTACTGACTGCATTCTGTATTATTCTTTTGCAAAGTATATATTGCTGGAGCTTAGATAAGAAAAAATATATATACATTCTGTTTTTCATTATGCCATCATTAAAAGCAGAAAAATATATACTGTTTGAAGTGGATTCTGCCATCTTATACAAAAGTAGTATTATTTGGGGGCAGAATTTCTCTAATGGGCTTTCATAATTTTGCATGCCCTTTTGACTTTTATAATGGAATAGATCATTTCATCCTGTGACAATTCCTTAATTATCTTAATAATGTGAGTCCAAGTACATTAAAAATTTCAGTGCCTCTAAGAAAAAATAAAAACTTTAAGAGCTTTCTTTACCACTTGTGGGCCGGTGTCCATCCCGCTAGCTTCAAAGATGAAGGATGTAGACCACGTGGGGATCCCTTACTGCAAGGCTTTTAGCTTACATAGTTTAGATGTAGTATAAAACACACATGGCCTGGTAATTGGTCATTTGATTTATTGTGTGATAATGCATGTCTTCTGTTATGAGCACGGCTGCAGGTCCCCTGCCCACTTTTTGGCACTCTGAGCACCAGAAATGGTGCTTGGTTATCTCTCTGTCCCCCTCAGTTCTAATGTACTGCAACACTTAGAAAGTGACCAAGAAATAAGACCATTGTGACATTGATTTAGCATAGTTAGGCATCTAGTCAACTCTAGGAAAGTTGTCCGGTACTTTTTCAAGCTCCCAAAGTTCTTTTTCTCCTTTTCTTCTTTCTACTGCTATTGTTATTTGCTTTGTTTGTTTGTTTTCCCACCTTCTGAGTCAGCACCAGGATGGACCCATTCGTGCTTACAGCAGCTTTATTAGGACCTTTAAGGATATCCGAGGTAACTTCATAAATTACTGCCTTAGGATCCCAGGAGTCAAAATGTAATATCTTAAATTAAAAAAGAGAATAAGAAAAATCCTGCAACTTTCCCTCCTCTGGAAATCAATTAGCCAATCAATCTCTTTCTCACATTCTCACCTGTGTGTGGGCGCACACACACATAATTCATAAACATAATCACAAAACACGTTAATTTCTTCCCAAGTGTCCTACTAAGGCTGAGATTCAGATGGTTATAGTTTGACTTAGGGGGTAAATGGTAGAGAGAATTTCGAATCATATAATCCTTTTTCAGAAAAAGTGTGTGAAATGATAAAAATAAATAGCCATTTAGATTGACCAGGGCTGAGCAGCATTTTGCATGAAGTGTTTTGGCCCTGTCCCTTCCTTATCACTAGCTTTTATGTAGCAGAAGGTTTAGAATTACCTTAAGAGCTATGTGAATAATTCTCCCAAAAGGAAAGTCCTTCCTTTACTCTGAATGGAACCATATCATTGCCTCTGGCCAATTAAGCTTTGTAGTCATTACGTGGATCTAGGCTCCACCCACATCTCTTCCTCTTTGTCTCTTGTTATGAACCTAGTTTAATATGGGATGGTAGTGGAGGAGTGTATTGGGGGGACTTAAAAAAAAAGACTCTAAATGGTTCAGTTTCATAACTGATTGGTTTTAGGAAAAGCATTGCTATTGAAGACAACGCACCCCATTTCTTTTTTGCCGTTTGCGATAGATAGCAAGGAACTTTGTGTGTGTGCATTCATGCATGCCTGGGTAGATAATTTGAGTTTCAAGAGTTCAAGAACAGCCAGTTTAAGTTCCAGGTTTCATTATTTTGTATGGAAAACCAGATGTGAAGCCTCACCAGAATGCATTCTGTTTCACTTCTCACTCCACCTTGCCAGGAGCTCTTATATTTCTGTAATAATAGCCAGGGTTTTGTGCTTAGCAGCAGCTGCTTCCAACATCTGCCAGATAATTACCGAGCTGAATCAGAATTCACCTGCCTTAACCTAAAGTGTGGGATGAATTCCTGATCAAGGAATAAAAGATTGATTGCAGTTACATTTTTCTATGCTTGTTAATAATCACTGCTATAGACACCAGTAAAGAGCAGATGCTTTTCTGGGGGAGGTGTCAATGGGGAGGGAGGTGGAAAGGGGAAAAAAAAAACAACCAGGAGCACCCACTTGTAACTACATATGTATGCGTCTCACATTCCGCACAAGACACTGACATTTGTTAACACCATTGTAAAAAGATGCCGCCGCGTATGCCGCACATTCTAGATTTTCTGCAGCACCTGCTGATGATCGAGCCCCCTTTTATGTGTGAGTATCGGTGATTCAAAAGCTCATTATGACTGTGTGTTACAACTTGTCTGTGAAAACCATTTCATGCTTTTGTAACTTCCCATTGCAGGGATAGATCCAGATAGAGACTCAGTGTGAACAGTTTGGCTTTCTTTTCTTCATTTATGTGAGAATGTAAATACCAGCAGAACTATGAGATTGTTACCTGTTCACATTGCACTGATGATTGGGAACTCATTTGAAAATCATATTTTCCAACTACTAAGCTTTCAAGCTCCTTTGTAGGGAATGATCCTGCCTGTGTGTGCAGGCACGGTCTCTGGATTAATAGCCGGATCACATTTCAGCATCACTAATGCTATTCTTCATCCTTTCACTCCATTTGTAACCAAAGGTTAGTTTACGTGTAAGAATCTCTAATACAGCTCTCAAAGAAGCTGTTTCAGTGTGTTTATTCAGTTCATAATTCATTTTTGGTGCCCTTCCTGGGATTCGGAGGTTTTATGTGCCATATGACTAGGCGTGTATTAAAATTGCTTTGCATGTGCTGTTGCATTGTGGGAATCTTGTTCCGGTGTCCTCACTGTCTGTATTGGGGTAAATATTTATGAAAACTGCTTTCTTTCCTCTTTCTCACTGCTGTCTAAAATATCATAAAAATATTTGTATAACTCCCAGTCCCCTACCCTTGGTAAAAGGAAAAACAGTTTGGGACAAATATAGAGGAAAATTCATTTTTGGCATTGTTTGGGATAGAAACATTTTTTTCCTTCTCAAAACATTTTAAAAACACAGTCCTTTGAACTGATTATTATTATCTTTGCTAGTGTGTTCTGGCTTTCCCTTTACCTTTATTGAATCTTCAGAAATAATACTTTTTTTTAAGATTTTATTTTTCATTTATTTAAGAGAGAGAGACAGAGAGCAAGAGAGAACATAAGCAGGGGAAGAGGCAGCGGGAGAGGGACAAGCAGACTCCCCGCTGAGCAGAGAGCCTGATGACTTGGGGCTCCATCCCAGGACCCCCGAGACCATGACCTGTGCTGAAGGCAGACACTTAACCGACTGAGCCACCCAGGCGCTCCAATACCAGTTTTCTTGAATAGGCTTTTTAGGTTTATCTTTATTTGTCTTTGTATAAAATAGAATCAATCTTCCTGACATAATGCGTTATACATTTTTTTACTCATTATTTTGGGAAGGGATAAATTCAAATTTACTATTCAATATATTTTTAACACCATAGAGAAGGTGTTTTTGTAGATGAATAAATTAAGTAGGACCAGAATTAGAATGCGACTCTGTCTCCCAGTGTACTCCTAAACCCTCTGAACTGTGCTTTCTGCTTTATTTTTTGGTCCTGGAGGTGAAAGTGTCATGAAGAGAGACTCCCAAGTGTACACAGAGTCTGCCCAGAGTGATCAGGCGTGACCAGGCTAGCTTATGCCCTGGTAAAGCACTGTTTTATATTTGTTTTATGCTTTTCAGCTACAATAGCCGCATGAAAAGTGACATCCTTCTTGTGATTGAGGATATGGAGATTTGGTAGTGGTGATTTACCCTCCCATTACACTCTGATGAGCACACAGAGCTGTGTCTTCTGACTCCAAATTTAAGTGACCTCACAGAGTGAATGCTTTTTATGGAATATCCAGTATGTCTGAAATTACATATCTTCCTCCCTTAGTAAATTATACCAGTGGCATAATTCGGATTTTATTATGACATAAAAGACAGTCCTTTGATCCATGCCCTCCCCTGCTAAGGTTTTATGTACTTATTGTCTTCATGGGTAAGTTATGGATAGCTAGTTTAATAGTCTTCATGATTTTTATATTGTGTAATTTTGATACATACTTCTTTTTTAGTTGCACAAGTGCAGAACCAGTTTGTAGTTCAGTGTTTCTCTTACCTAACTATTCCTTAAGTTGAGGATCTTGGAGGTATATTGGTTATCTAGCCTTTTATAGGACAGCAGTAAACTTGAATTTTCAAATATCAGTTTCTAAACATTCTAGCTGTAGTCAGCATCTTGCTCAGTGCCTTCCACATTACAGGCATTCAGCCAATACTTGTTTAATTACTAAGTGACCGTTCAAGTGTAAACATGAGGCTTTTCTCTAAAACCAAAATAACTTATTACAGAGTTGCTACAAATTAGTAAGAGAGTCTTCCCATAAACTTATGCTAGTTTGAACTTCAGACTTTCGGGTTCATAACTTAATAGAGCTAACATATAATTATTATATATTTGTTAATTCCCATAATTAATTATGTATTATGGAAGAATGTAAAGTAATTTGGGGTAGCCAGTATTTTAGCGGAGTATGTGTAATTTGTTCCTGCTAAGGAACCCAAAAGTCTTTGGATGAAATTAATGTTATTACTGACAGTTATATTTGTAAGGATTAGTAGATCTTTTTTAAAAGATTTTATTTATTTATTTGAGAAAGGGAGAGAGAGCACGAGCTGGGGTTGGGGCAGAGGGAGAGGGAAAAGCAGCCTCCCCCCTGCTGAGCAGGGAGCTGCACGAGGGGCTGGATCCTAGGACCCTGGCAAACGCTTAACCAACTGAGCCACTCAGGTGCCCCAGGATTAATAGATCTTTCTAAAAATTGCTGTTAGTTTTGTTATTTGGAAATTGAAATAATGCTGCTTTTCTCCCCCATATGATTATTGGTAAACATATAGTTTATCAGCATTTTAAAGTTTAATTGTTGTTTAAAATTTAAAGTAAAAACTTTAAACTTTAATCTGTTATTTTTGCATATAGGATGCTTTATCCTTTGGAAGTTTGGAGTCTCTGCTGAGTAAGCTGGTTAAATGAGTTGTGTGAAAAAGTAGGGATGAAGGGACAAGATCATTTTATTTCTGTATTTTGGAATCTTTTCCTGTTAGGCACAACTTTGCTTTCCTTCTTTTTTTTTTTTTTTTTCATGGACTGTGTTCTATTCCAGAATTACTTATGTGCCCGCAGAACATTTGGAAGAGTTCAAAATAAGTTTGGGGCAACAATCTGGAGGAATAATGGCCCTGGATATTTTTTCTTCATCCTCTGGCAGGTGAGTGAAGCAGTGAGCTTGGTGCAGGGAGTGAATGATGCAGCAAGTTCCAAGGGAGACTTTGAAGCCAGAGTCAGCAGGACTAGCAATGAAAAAGAATGATTTCCTTTTGTCTCTTTCCAGATTTAAAAAAAAAAAAAAATTCACCCCATCCTCCCCATTACTTAAGAAAGTATCATACAGTGTGGAAAATACATGAAAGCTCAAATCAAGAAATTAAAATCATCTTAAGCTGCACCACTCTGCATAGTACTCTTCATATACTAAGTTTGGGGAATTCTCAGATCTCAGTATTATTTCATTAATTCACTGGCGCCTACAGTTTGTATGATACTGTATCATGCCTTTTCCTCTCTCATAAATGTTTTCAAACATGTTCAGAAATTTTATTTATTTTTTTATTAACATACATACAGATTCAGAAACATTTTTAATGGTTATTTCTTACTTTTTTGGAAAGTGTTGAGCTGAACATCACGAGCATTAACAACATAAGGAATGACCAACACATTTATAGGGGCTTATCTGGGTTGATGAAAGGATTCATGGATTATAGAATCGTTTGAAGAAAATGGGGGTTTTGTATCAGAGGATTCAGGATGTTAGTCTTCTTATAGCTAAAAAGGCAGGAAGATGTGATCCACTATATCTGAGAGTGTGTCCGAGTAGCCCCCTGAGCTTGGACTTGATGGGTAAGATCCTCCCCCTCCCCATGGCTGTCACTGAATATTTTCGGAACTCATTTTAAGTTCTCATTATTGTCTGTGTTCCATACTTCTTCTTCTCTCCTATTCCTTCCAACTCTGTTTCCCGAGGGTTAGACCCTCTCTTCATCTCTCTGCCCTGCATCTTCAGGATACAGCTTCCCTCAGTCTATCTTGTTCTCGGTCTGCTTCTTAACATCCTTTTTAAAACTCCCCTTTTTGAAAAAATAAAATTAAATTAAATCCGTTATGTGGATCCATTCCCAAAAGTCTTGTCCCACTGTCAGGCTTAGGCTATTGGATCCCAGCCTCATTCAGAACCTTCTTCCTCAACTTGCTCAGGAGAGGAATTCAAACATACAACAGTAGGTAGTACAGTTAGGCAGATAGATTTTCCCTTAACAGTTGAAAAGCAAAAATCTAACATTTAGGTCAAAGGAAGAATGACATGTTTAGGGAGACCCTGGACAGTTAGTTGCTTTCCAAAGATGTTGTGAAACATATTCAAACACAGACGATTATTGGGTTTTATGACTTCTGATCTCAGAGTCAAAAGGTTATGTGATTTGACAGAGTTCAGTATTCCTGTCACTGGAGAATAGATATAATTTGAGTGTATACTTTCTTTAGATTATTCAGTTTCTATAGAAATCAGTTGCAAACATTTATTAAATCAGAATTTTTATGGCTTTCTTTGCTTTCAAAGGAATATGTGGACATTCATCTTTAGAAAGCCAAGTTTAACTAACAGCGTTAAGGACACACCATAATTGCTTAACCATTCTCTATTGCCCTTACAATGTCACTCATTAATACAAAGTATACCTTTGGGAAAACAAAGTATTTATCAATATGGTTATTTATAGTTTAATTTACAATTAGTTAACAGACTGGACACATTTTGTTATGCCTGGCATTTGGCAAAATTGAATTCCTACAGAAATTGAAAAGTGACCTTAAATAGAAGGACATCGTGAACTGCTTTCTGTAAGGAGTATTCTGTGTGTGGTCCTTCTGGCTGGAGTGAAGTTGGACTTTAAGCATTTTATATTTTTCTTGAAGGGAAAACACTGGCCCATTCTTAGGAGACAGAGATGCTAAATTTCTGCCTTACTTGACGATAAGTTCTTTCAAGTCAGGGATCGATCAGGACTGTGTAAGCTTATAACCCATATGGTGCTTCTACCTTTTGTATGTTGTGTTTAAGAAATACTTGAAGTTTTCTCTTTAATTCTGATATTTTCCCCTTCTTGTTCCTTTTCCTTATTCTCCCACGTTTCTTTGGGAAAGAAACAGACTAGCTAAGAATTTTAGTGTTCAGCTCTATCTCCAGACTAAGTTATGGTAGATTGATTCTAATGTCAGGTTTTTATTTTCATTTGATTAGGTTTTATTTCCCCCTTAATGTAAAATGGGCCAAGTATGGTGAAAATATGAAGTAGTTCTGATTTTTAGCAAATCAGTAGTAAAGTATATATAAGACAAACTTGCACAGTTTTACTAGGATTCTGGAGTATTCACTGTGTAAATTTTTAACAGAGACATTCCAGAACTACCAGAGCGAGAAGAAGGAGAGGGAGAAGAAAGTGAGCTTCAGAATTCAGCGTACAGTAATTGGAACCAGCCCAGGCGGTAAGAACTATTTCTGTCTTCTGCCTACTCAGTGTTTAAAGATAGGGAGGTGTGGTTTTAAGTACTGGATTACAACTTGGCACTGTGACATAGGGCAGGGTGTTCTAATATCCCTTACCCTCCATTTCTTCCTGTGTGCAGTGGAGAGGATACTGTGTTATTACACAGGGTCTAAACTAAACACATATACAAGGGTTTGGCACATAGTAGGGGCTAAATATGATTAACTAGAGAAAATTATGCATAGGTAGTTGGAAAGGATAATATTTTCTGTAGAGTTCAATCTTGGGTTTACCACCAAATGTTAATTTAAATTTTCTCTAGCATTTGTAACATATATATTCAAAATGTGTGTGTGTGTGTGTGTGTGTGTAAGCATCTTGTTATCACAGCCTGCAGTTATTTTAACCCATGCTCTGTCTGGAACCAATTTCATATATAGTAGAAAAATAGCTTTCCTAAATATGTTCAGATATATCGCTGTGCATCAGTAAGGCATATTTTTGTGTTCATGCTGAGTAAAATCAAATTCAGTTTCATAGGAATTTATTGAGTCCTGATTGTGGATGCAGATGATTTTGTGAATAACAGGCAAGTATGAGACCTAAATCCTGCCTTCAAGGAAGTGTCATGTACTGGGATAGGCAAGATGTGGAGACACACAAAATAATTAAAGAAAAATGTAAATGTAAAGTATATTAAGTGTAAAATATTAGTCGTCTTGGCTATCCCCTCTAAACAGATCCACAGGTGACCATCATAATGATTTCTTGCACTTAGGAAACACTTAATATTTATTCTACAATAAATACATAAAATACTCCAGAGAGAAAAATTTCTACTCTTCAGAGATGTAACATGGTTCGATGGTTTTCGTTGCTTACATTTAAACATTTTTAGGTTGAGTCCTATTCAAAGTATAGAAAACATACTATATTGCTTTCACAAAAAACAATAAGCATTACTGGCCATTTAAAATGACTTTTTGATTGGAATTCTTTAAAAAGCTATTAGCCTACTTAAAGAAATCAAGGTCTCTCTACATCATTACTCACATTGAGAACAGAATATAAATGCTAGATCTGTGGCAGAAAATGTGTCATTTCTTATTTATATGAGGATAAAAGCAAAAGGGAGTTAGATGAAATTATTTTGTAGCTGGTGATCATAGTGATAAACTTGAATTTTGTTGGAGGACAGTAATCACAGGCAAAGAAAAAGATAGATTTTTCAGTTTTAATAATGCTGTTGGAGGAAAAGTAGAATTTAGAAGGCAATATACAAAATGTTTGGCATCCATAAGAGCCATGTTAGAATTCTAACTTCGACAGTTCTTAAGGTAAATTTCTTTTTTTTTAAAATTATTTATTTATTTATTTGAGAGAGAGAATGAGATAGAGAGAGCATGAGAGGGGGGAGGGTCAGAGGGAGAAGCAGACTCCCCGCCGAGCAGGGAGCCCCACACCAGGCTCTATCCCAGGACCCTTGAGATCATGACCTGAGCTGAAGGCAGACACTTAACTGACTGAGCCACACATGTGCCCCTGGCTCATAGATTTAAATGTACTGTTTACTTTATCAGAAGTTGTCAACTCGCTTTTTATGGTGGCTGTACCAATTTTTACTTCAATTCTCAATATATGCGAGTTCCCTTTTCCTCACATCCTTGTTGCCACATCATATGATCATTGAAACAACACGTTTTTGTCAACCTGATAGTTAGAAAATGGTATCTTGTCTTAATAAACAATGTCTGAGCAAAACAGGATTAAGGTGGTGGGGTGCACATTTTCTCACTTGTCCATGTGGATTGAATTTTGTATCTTGCTTACATTGCTTCAGTAATCATAATCTCAATCATCATAATAAGAGTAATAAAAGATTGATTGATTGCTGTATGCCAAACTTCGCATTGCACTTTGCATACATTCATTAATTTAATCCTCACAGCAAACCCTGATGTAGAGCGACTTACTGGCTCCATTTCATAGAGGAAGGTAAGAGAGAGACTAAATAAGTTGCAGAGGGTCACACAACTGTTAAGTAGTAAAAAATCAGGACTCAAACCCAGGGACTCAGTTCAGAGCTCAGGCAGCCTGGGCTCAGATCCCTTTTACCTTTGCTTTTCTGAATTTCATTCTTTGTAAGCCTGTGTATAGGGCTCAAGAAAGGCTGCCACTTTTCCATACAACTAACTCTGAACATGTTCTCTAAAACTTTGCTTTTATAGGTCTCCTTTTTCTGTCCAAGGAATGTTTCCCATGTTCCGTTCAGTGAGGGAGTCTGGTTCCTCAGCACTGTGGTCATTTTGGCAGCTCTGTGTTCCTCTTCAATCTTCTCCAGTATTTTAAGTAGTTATGGCCTTTCTTCCAGAGAGTACACTGTATTTGAAAACACTGCTGTCTGCCAGACCCCATGTAAGCGTACAGGGCTATTATCCAAAGATTGTTTAACCTCTCTGCTCCTCTTCCCTTTATGAAATGGGGCTAATAAGAGTATCCATCTCAAAAAAAAAAAAAAAAAAAAGAGTATCCATCTCATAGGGATGAAGTGAGAATTAAATGAAAGTATGTGGAATTCACCTAGAGAATAATGCTGAGCACAAAATAAGCTCTTGAGTGTTTGCTGCTATTATTTTTATTATTTAAGAAATTATAAGAATCACTTTCCAATTCACACTAACTACAGAGAACCCTAGGAGACATTTTCTTTCATTTTTTTAAATTTATTTTTTCCTTTATAAGAGAAGGGTTAAGTAGTCCTACGAATGTATTCTGAATTCTTAAATGTTTACTACAAATGGCTAAATATACTGACTTCTTTATTTCGTCTTGTTATCTTAGGAACTGCTTTCAGAAACAAGGAAGGATTTTGGTTCTTGTCTTTCACAGAATTCCCATAGTGAAAGAAAATGATGACTAGGATTTTAACTAGTTTAAACTATTCAAACAAACATTATTAAGATTCAGGAACATGGTGACATCCTTTCAAACTAAATAGAGTTTCTAGGATTTTAGATTTCTAATAAGGAAAAAAAAATGCTGACCTCGGGTACCTCCATCTGACTGGGGACTGTCGTCCCCCCCAGCGCCCACCGCCAGTGCTCTTTTATCCCCAGCCTTTTCTTACTGGATTGCCCTCACCACACGAGAGTCCTTACTCCAACCTTTCCTCTCCTCTGGGATCTCCTCAAAGCTCAGATTGAGGGCATCTGTTTGGACCATGCTCTCTTCTATTTAACGTCCAACACTGACTCCCTTCCTGCAGCACAGAGCCGATTACAGTCTCATTATCTCAGAGCTCTTGGCTAGAGTTCTCTGCGTTTCTCCTCGCAGCCAGACACCTCACTGCAAATGTCCTTATTCTTCTGTCCCAGCCTTTTCATAAGACAGGAACTTACTGCATTCATAGCTCTTACAGCTATATGCAGTTATTAACTCTGAGTGTCTGTGTGTGTTACACGGGTGGAGGAAGTACATTCAAGGCAGAGGAGGTAGCAAGCACCAATGCCCCAAAGCGGGAGAGCATGCCTGATGAACTTCAGGAAGAGCAAGAAGATGCTGTGGTAGCTGGAGTGGAGAGCGGAGGCCAGAGAGCTGTGGGAGATGAGTTTAGGGAGGTGGTGGTGGGATCAAATCATGAAGGGTACTGTCAGCCCCTGCTTTCCATGCCCTGACTGTTGGTTACTGGGTCTGCCTTGGCAAAGAAGACTTCTACAGGGATAAGCCTCTGACATAGCATGTGCAGGAATGTTCTTTTCCTTGATTTGATTGCCAAGCTTAGAAGTTACCATCTGTTCAGGAGTCGTTGAATTTCTTGATTACTTAATGTCTGCAATATTAGAGCCCCTGGAAAATCGTACTTTTATATCGGTCCACGTCCCAGCCTGGAGTGTGAGTCCAGTATTTACTTGTAACAAATCAGCTTCAGAAATACATTAGTGTTTATCAGACCCTATAAAACACATAATTGGGAAACTATTTAAAATGATTTTGTTGGGGTGCCTGGGTGGCTCAGTCGTTAAGCATCTGCCTTCGGCTCAGGTCATGGTCCCAGGGTCCTGGGATCAAGTCCCACATCGGGCTCCCTGCTCAGCAGGAAGCCTGCTTCTCCGTCTCCCACTCCCCCTGCTTGTGTTCCCTCTCTCTCTCTCTCTGTCAAAAAACAAAATCTTAAATAAACAAAATGATTTTGTTTTACTACTGTTAAAACCTTAATAAATTGATAAAATTGGCAAAAATTAACTTATATTACATTTTTTAAAATTTAGTTATAATTTTTGACCATGTGAACCATTTTTAAGTATGCAGATCAGTGGCATTAAGAACACTCACATTGCTGTGTCACCATCACTACCATCTATCTCCAGAACACTTAGATCATCTTACGAAACTGAAAATCTGTCTGCAGTAAATATTAAATAATAATTCCCCATTTCTGCCCTCCCCACTTGCTGACAACCACCATTCTACTTTCTTTTAACCCCAGTTTTACTGAGAAATAATTGAACATACATCACTGTGTAAGTGATGTAAGGCATATAACATGTTGGCTTGATTTTATATATATTGTAGAAAGATTATCACAGTAGGTTTCAGGTCTTACATTTAAGTCCTTAATCCATCCAGTAGGTTTCAGGATTTACATTTAAGTCCTTAATCCAAGTTAATTTTTGTGAGTGGTGTAAAATATGGGTCACCTTCATTCTTTTACATGTAAATATTTAATTATCCCAGCACCATTTACTGAAGAGACTGTCTTTTCTCCATTGAATATTCTTGCCTCCCTTGTCAAAAATTAGTTGACCTTATATTCTTGGGTTTATTTCTGGGCTCTTGATTCTATTCCATTGGTCTATGTGTCTGTTTTTATGCTGGTACTAGACTGTTTTGATGACTTAAAACTTTATAGTATAGCTTCAAATCAGGAAGCGTGATGCCTCCTGCTTTGTTCTTTTTTTCTCAGGGTTTCCTTGACTATTCAGTCTTTTGTGATTCTAT